AAAATCCTTTTTCCCTAGAAATGTTCTGCTAAAAGCTTCGTGTTCGTAAAATTTCAAAATGTTTACTTTAACAAGTTCTGGCAGTTTTTTTGCTGCATTTCTTTATGGAAGTGCTAAGATTTCACTTTTTTGCCTTTAACTTTTTTGCTGCTTTAGCCATTCTCTCTAATATTTTAAATTTACTATATATTTTTATTCTTGACCAACTGTTTGGTATCAGAGTTAAAATTTGAACTTTTTCACGTGGATTACTGGTTGTTGATATTTTATCCTTCAATTCTAGTATCAAACCTGATCAGTCAATGCAAATCTCACACTCTACACTTGTACTGCTTAGTTGTAGGGCATTATTATTTGGTGATAAACCACCAGTAACAGCTATTTTTTCTGCAACTGTTATTTGCACTTTGCGAATTTTACCTTTTACATAACTAGCATGATCTCTCTTACTAAGACGTTTTCTTAAAGGTGATATTCCAATCTCAGAAAGGCTAGTATTGATAGTGTCAGCTGAACAAAAATATCATCTATGTCATCAATATCGTCAACTTTTTCACTTGAAGACTTTGTTTGTTTGTAAATTTTTATTTTCTTTCGATGACAGCTAGACACCTATGCCTTTGCAGAATGTTCTATTATCTGGTCCTTTTTAGTTTTTTCTTTTTGCACTTTTTTGTAATTTATTTTATTTGACTTTCTTCCGCTGCTCGAAGTCTAAATATATATATATATATATATATATATATATATATATATATATATATATATATATATATATATATATATATAATCTTTAAAAGTTTTAAATATATATATATATATATATATATATATATATATATATATATATATATATATATATATATATATATATATATATATATATATATATATATAATCTTTAAAAGTTTAAAAAAAAATTAATTTAAATCTTTAAATTAATGCTTGCATTTATAAAACTACCATGGATACCAATCGTTGGTCCCAAACTTAGAAAGGAACTTAGAAAACAAAACATAAAAGTTATTTTTACATCCGCTCCAAATTTAAACAATATTTTATGCAACAATAAGACAAAACTTCCTCCAAATACAAACCCAGGCGTCTACCAACTAAAATGTTCATGCAATTCTATATACATTGGAGAAACTAAGAAGAAAGTTATATCGAGATGTATTGAACACCAGAAAAATAGTGTTAAAGGAAAATGGGCCAGTTCAGGTGCTACCGAACATTCCAAATCATGCCAGGGTACATTTGATTGGTTACATCCCAAAACCATATCAATCGCTCCAGAGTATCATATTTGGAAAATTCGAGAGTCACTCGAAGTAAACAGAGCTAAAGTTCGACAAAAACTTGGAAGTGATGAAAAAGTTTTAAATAGGGATGGTGGTGATTACGTGACGAAAAAAACTTGGGGGCCTTTTTTTGTTAGATTATTTGACGTCAACATTTAAAGCTATTTTGTATTTTGTTATGCTCTTTTTAATGTTATCTTTTTAACGGTTAGTTTTTATTACAAAAATTTTCTTTGTAACGATTTTTATTTATTACACCTGATGACGCTGATCACAATAGATCAGCGAAATATCGAAAAAATATATTAAATAAAAAATATATATTTTTTAAAAAGTTTATACGCAGCCGTTTTTATTGAATTTTACATATTTTATATATATATATATATATATATATATATATATATATATATATATATATATATATATATATATATATATATATATATAATTTTTTATTTTATTTTAACTTTATATACATATATTTTTTTTTAAATTTTTGTTGCTTTATATTTTTTTGTATTCTTTATTGAACAGAATGGCTCCAGAGACACAAAATCATTTTTTACCATATGTATTATTTGATACTGCTATTTTTAAAAGACCTTCATTGTTTACTTGGATAAGTTCTTTTATAGTAAGATTGCATTTTCCTTTAACAACTGATTCAATTATTTTCATTGCATGATCCGTTCTTCAATCCGCTAGTACTTTAAGATCAAGTTCTTTAGTTAACGGTGCAGCATGGGAATTTCGTAGTGCATGGGAAATGATTTTCGCGGCTTGTTTTTGTATTACGTCTAATTTTTTTACATGGGTGTTTGGTATTGAAATATAGAGTGAACTAATAAATTCCATATGACTAAGCACCATTCTGTTGTAGGGCAATTTTAATAATTTTTTTGGTAGGATTGCTGATGCTCTTGCCAACATTCCCAGGGAAGAGTGGCATTTTTTAATTATCAACTCAATCTGCTGTTTAAAGGTTAGATGCTGGTTTAATGTTACTCCCAATAATTTTACATTGTTTTCAGGCTTTATTGTTATTTTATCTAATAGAATTCGGTAGTCAGCAGGTATTTGCTTCCTGGGTGGTTTGAAAATAATTAATTGGGTCTTATCTGTGTTTATTGTCAATTTTATTTTTTCACAATAATCTTTTGTATCCTGGAACGATTTTTTTAATTTTTTCTGCAATTACTTGAAGTGATAGGTCGGCTTCAGATACGGTTATATCGTCAGCAAACTGATATATTTCTGATTTAAAAAAAGTTGGGAGTTCTCTTGTGTAAGAGTTGAATAATTCCGGGCTGAGTTTATCTCCTTGTGGGACACTCTTAGTGATTGGTTTCCATGAACTAAATTTTTTACCATTCTTAACCCTTTATATTCTATTTTCGAGATAATTAGAAAATAATTGTCCTGCTTTGACTCCTATACCCATTTTGGACAGTTCATTTAAAAGTTCTTGATGTGGTACGCTATCGAAGGCTTTGGATAAGTCTATTATTAGGGCGCCTACATATTTACCATCGTCAATTGATTTATACCATGTGTTTGTAGCAGTGAGTATAGCAGTTTCAACTCCTGAGAATTTCCTGAATCCAAATTGTTGTTTTGGAATAAGTTGATACTTATCATTAAAACCTGAGAGTTGTATGGCTACCAATTTTTCAAAAACCCTACCGAATATAGGCAATATATAGATTGGTCTACCTTTTCCTTTCCATATTGGGGTAATATAAGCTTTTTTTCCAAACTGATGGAAAAACTCCATTTTCAAAAGACTTGTTAAAAAATTTGAGTGAGATTATAAGAGATTGATTTTGAAATTTTTTTGATCAAAGATGCTTGAATATCATCATAACCGGATGCTGAATTTGTTTTTAGGGAATTTATTAGTTTTTCTGTTTGACTTATCTTTATTTTTTCAAATTGGAAGGAATTAGAAATGTCACAACCAGTTGGCCATTCTAGTTTTTTTCTTTCAGGTTGATGTACTACTTGTGGTTGAATAAGCTTTGCAGCAATTCAGACACGATTTTGACTTGGACAAATAACTTTATTTGTTAACTTTGCAGTCTCTAGGTCAATACATCTCAACCCTTTAACTGAGCAAGGGTTGGCCATACCAAAATGGTTTAAACAATAACGCTGCAAATGAGTGTACTTAACCAACAGCAGTGATTTGTGCTAAAAACAAATTAAAGTAATATTTTAAATCAAATTATAAGTTTTGAGCAAATTTTCCGTCAAATTTTCCAAAACAACAAGTACTTTAGTTTTGTTCAACAGACATGTTAGGATAAATTTAAAACAACTCTTATTCTAACTTCAATTCTAATTTTAGTCTTCTAATATTACATGTTTGTGATAATTTATCACTGATAAACTGCAGAGGTGGGCTGCCAAATTTTGAACAACCGGCTCACTATTATTTCAAAAAAAAATAACAGTAAATACGTACATTGTTTTCATAAATTTTTGTATATAAAATATAAAGAACAAAACAAAACATTTATTGCACAAAATAACTAAACAAAATATTTATTGCACAATAAAACTGATAGATTTCAAATTTAACATACTACGCTATGTATATGCTTAATTAATTAATTGATTAAATAATGTAGAGTCCATATGCCTTATTCATTTGCAGAAACATCATTATTGTGCCCTCTTCTTACGCTTGTTTCAGTTGCTAACCTGTGATTCTGTGTTCATCCAAGATGTAAAAAAAGGAATGGCATCGAAATTTGCTATTGGTTTTCCCAATAAATTTATTGTCATTACCCAGTGGGCATCTCGACGTCGAACGAACGTCGAGCGACGTCGGATCTCGACGTCGGATCGACGTTGGGTTTACGTTGGAAATGGAAATGTTATTTGACGTCGGATAAACTGACATCGCGCGACGTCGGCATTCCGATGTAAATCCAACGTGTTTTTTGAAAACTAATAAAACGTTGCCTTTGGCAGGAATCGAACCTCGGTCTATTGGGTACTAAATCCTGAGCGCTTACCACTACACCACAAGGAAATATTAATCGATGAGTTTATTTAGTAATTTATACTTGTAGCTATTTGGGAATTATTACTTTGATAAGAAAAAATTTTGTTTAAATATTATATAAATATTAAAACGAATAGTTATGTATTATAAAAAATGTATACTCGAAAATGTTAATAGTTAAAAAACTATGCTAGTGCATCATACAAAACCTCATGATGTTTTATCAACCTTTATTCAAACTTTTTTCCATTAATAAAAAAACACGCTTAGTTCACATAATTATTGAAGAGCGCAATTGCACACATATTGTTGGGTTTGGATTAAATTTTCATCAGCGATGTCTTACGACGTTGTTCCGACGTCGTTTTAAGGACGTTGGATTGACGTCGGAAGACGTCAAAAGACATCGGAGTACGTTAATATTATGACGTTGCCCGACGTCTTTTTATCGACGTTGGATCGATGTCAGTACTGCGACGTTTTTTGGACGTCTTTTATAAGATGTCGGAACAACGTCAAAATACATCGAAACGACGTCAGGGGATGTTGAGATAAAGACATCGCCCGACGTCATTTTACTGACATCGGAACAACGTCGGAATAGGTCTTTTGACATCGCTGATGAAAATCAAACGTAAATCCGACGTCGGATTGACGTCGGGTGCCCACTGGGTAGATATATGTTCCCCAGTAAGGCTAGTTCTTAATTTTGATGTAATTAAATTCATAAAGCTAAAACCTCTCTCAGCTTCTGAACTGCTAATAGCAATTGTGCTTGCTATTTTTTTTGCCCTTAAAATTGAATTAGGTAACTGAACATTTTTTACAAAGACACGAAAATCATTAACATCTACTTTAAACTTTAAAACTTCACATAATTTTCTAACCATGTCTTCACCTTCTAGCCATGGTCATTATCTAATGACCAGGTAGTTATCATATCTAATGACCAGGTAGTTATCATATCTAATGACCAGGTAGTTATCATATCTAATGACCAGGTAGTTATCATATCTAATGACCAGGTAGTTATCATATCTAATGACCAGGTAGTTATCATATCTAATGACCAGGTAGTTATCATATCTAATGACCAGGTAGTTATCATATCTAATGACAAGGTAGTTATCATATCTAATGACCAGGTAGTTATCATATCTAATGACCAGGTAGTTATCATATCTAATGACCAGGTAGTTATCATATCTAATGACCAGGTAGAAGGATATAAAATCTCAAAGAGCTGCACAAAATTTTTCATAGTTATCAGTGTCATTGTTCTCATTCTTATCCTCACCCATATTTATATGACTAGCCGATAAAAGTCTTGCTTTCATATTCTTTGCCACACTATCTAATAATTGCTCTCTGGGAAGAGACACAAATTTATTATTGTAATCAAATGATATGCATTTGAACTCATTTGATGAAATTAAATTTTGAACTTTTTTTTCATAGAAAATTATCATTCTTGTGTAGTTCTATAGCTCTTATTGAACGCTTAATTAATTGATCAGCTTTAGATATGGTAATTTTTCTTGATTGTAGTGCATTGGATAGTATTAAAAATTCTTCTAAGGTATCTATCATTAAAGCTTAATCTTCAATAAAATGTGTATTAGCTAATCTTTTGGCCATTCCTGAATTTGATTTGGACTGGATAAAATCTTTATACAACGCTGGGTTTGTTCTCCACACAGCAATAGCTGCTCGTAAGCTACAGGATGCCCAACAAGGTCCAAAAACGCGACCAATTTTTATTATTTCTAGGTTCAAAGTACTAGAAATAGTTTCCATTTCGGCTTGGTTTTTATTTGACTGATGATATATCGCATTTATTTTGTCTAAAAATATTTTAAAATGATTTACTTGTTTAATGTCGCTTATGGAATCATCTAGTGCTAATTGAAATCGGTGATTCAAACAATGCCACACGATTATATTTGGAAACATGTCAGTTAATTTTGTGGCTACTCCAGATTTTCTTCCTAACATTGTCGATGCACCATCTGAACAGAATTCTATGAGATTTTTTTGTAAATAATTTTTATCAAATATATAGTAAGTAAGACAGTCTATTAAGGTCATAAAAATATTTTCGGCAGTTGTTGACGTCATTTCTTTTAAATCTACGAAAATCATGAGAGGTTCAATTGCAGACTGTACTTCACACTGTAAATATATTACCAAAGTACTTTTTTTAGCAAGTGTAGAAGCTTCGTCAGTTATGATACAAATTTTTGAATTTTGATTGATAATGCTTTTAAAAACAGTTTTTTTAATCTGTATCGCAATATGTTCAACAATTCTAGTGGCAGTGCGTCTGAAATGTAAACAATTTTCTACCCAACTTTTAAATTGTATTTTTTTTGTTTACATATAAATGTTCTACATTCTAATTCTATAAGTAGACATAAAGAAAAAAAATGCTAAATTACAGTTATTCTGCATAATACAAGAAGACAGAGAAAACATTCCCAAATTGCAGTAAACAGCGTCATGTCTTCATTTCATTTGTTCAAGGACTTATTAATAAATGGACGTTTAACGTATTGTTTAAAAGCCAAGATATCCGCGCTATTCATTGTTACAAATAACAATAGCAAAACAATAGAGAACTATTTTTAACTTGAGAATATTTTTACATGATTTTACGTCAAAATAACGATAGTCTCGTCTAGCCTTTGAAATATTTAAACATTCCATTACACCTAAAAAATCTAAAATGTTTTTAAATAAATAAAACCTTTTCATTATATGATCTATAAACTCAAGCGAAATCTTTATATGGAAAAAAAAAGTTAATCACAGAAAAATATTAAAACAAAATTTTTAGTGAGACAAAATTTCCGACAAAAATGAGAAATTTAAATACTTAAAATAACAGTGAAAACTAAGTGTAGGGAATAGAGACCACAAGTAATCTATAGTTCGATCTATATATGATCTACAGTTTTACCTACAACATCTAGAAAATTCGTTTCACTTTGAAGTATTTATTCTTGCAAACTAAATATCACTTTTTTACAAAGATATGATTTTTGACGTTTAAGTTTTATTAATAATAAGTTCTTATTAAAAAGCGCTCACGTATCAAATTTGACATTTTAAAACTGATGAGCTATTTCTGTATAACTATTATGAATTAATTTTTAAAACTTTAGAGTTTTGTAGGTAATTGTACTTTTTAAAAAAAGTAGTTAGAAAAGCGAAATTATCTGAAAAACGTCGGTTTACTTTTATAAATTATTCAGAAAAATAACGCTAAAAATTATAGCTCGCATAGGTTTTTGTTTACTTGCAGCGCCTCAGATCTATAACAATGGGTTAAACGTCCATCTATTAATACGTCCTTGATTTGTTATAATATTTTACGATTTGGAACAGTGTTTGTTTATTATACTTTGTATTTTACGTACGTACATGTCGTGTGTTTTGTGTTGCGCACATGATACGTTTGCGAGTGTGTGGCACATCAGCACGGTGAGCATATTTTGCATAAGCATACTAATAAAATGGCTTATTTTTGGTTTTAGGGTTAATTTAACAAGCGGCTCGCCAAGTTTCAAAAATTTTAACAACCGGCTCGCGCGAGCCGGCTCCAGCCCACCCCTGAGTATAATCGCTATTATAAATAGAATTTCTATAAACCATTTTTTAAAACGTTTTTTATGAGATATCAATATTGTACTAACTTTGCTTTACTGTGGCAAGAATATTTCAGAAACGGATTGACCAAAACTTAACATATTTTGATAGTTTGTTGATTATGCATCAAGTTATGCAAAGAACCTCAAAGTTATATGAATGTATAAGTTAAAAATAAAATATAACGATTTTTCGGTTATTATGATGGGTTAAAAAAAGAATTTTTTCTGCATCCTTTAAAGAAATATAGCTTGTTGATGCAACCCCTGATTCAGCACATATGGAACAAACTGTATTTATATTACGTTATGTTTATTTAAATGAAGAAAACAGTGTATACGAAGTTCAAGAGGGATTTCTAGAGTTTGTTGACTGCAATCAGAAAACGGGGAAAGCTATTGCTGAATTAATTTGCATTGTTATTGAAAAACACAATATACCAATGATAGACTGTCGTGGTCAAGATTATGACAACGGTAGCAACATGAGCGGTCAGTATAAAGGAGCACAAGCAGAGATAATTAAAGAGAACCTATTTATTCTCCATGTGCTTGTCATAGCTTAAATCTGTGTGATGTCCATGATTGACAGTTAAAAACCTTTTGCAGAACATATTCCTGGTTTAAAGAGTGCTATCCAAGACTTAAAGAAGCTAAATCTTACTGCCAAGACTCGATCAGATATCAAACGTATTGAGAAATACTTGGGTTCATTTGAGTGCATTATACTCGTAAGCACTTTAAAATTCTAACAAGTATCAATTACAGAAACTCTTTTAGAGAAATTAGAGTCTTTATTAATACTTTTTATTTTAATTTACATTCTCTTCTTTTTTATATTATATCAAGTTAATTACTTATAGTAAAAATATTAAAGAAAAGGCTACTTAATTAAAAAGCTTTTTATTAAATTTTTTTTTGCTAAATAAACTTAGTTACTCCGCGCAGCGGCCTTGTTTGTCAAGGTTTGTGTTTCTGAGTTAAAGAGTTGAGAGAGGGTTGTACCACAATTAACAACAAAAAATAAAAATAAAAACACAAAAAAATGAGTAGCCTCCTCGACTATAGTGACCCCTCGGCCTCGGGAAGTTGAATAATGTAAAAAAAAAAAAAAAAAAATTCGAACAAATGCAACTTGCTAAAAAACTGAAAGGATTCGTTGACCAACCTAACTAATTAAAGACACATCTAGTTCTAGACTTTAAGATTGATTTTGATTTAAGTTAGACTAAAGACACGTCATAGACTTTAAATTTGATGTTTTCAATATGGATATGAATATTAATGTAAAATAAAGGGGGCATGCCATAAAATTTACTCCGGGGCCCGGCTTGGCTCTCTACAGCCCTGCACACACACACACAAACACACAGATATATATATATATATATATATATATATATATATATATATATATATATATATATATATATATATATATATATATATATATATATATATATATATATATATATATATATAAAATCACTGAAGAAACTATTTACGACTTATTTTATTAACTATATAATACAAAAAATATCATCAAGACGATGTATCTATTCCTCCTGCACTGGCTTTATATGCTAAAGCTGAATTTCCATTTGCATAGGAAGCTCCAAGTCCAAACAGGTGACCGCAGTATTTGTCATCATCGATGTTGTCTTCAAAGAACATCTATGTAATATTAACTCATATATCAATGTATATAACAAATATAATATTAAACGTGTAAAATAAAATAATGATTATTTTAAAAATTTTATATAAGTTTGCTTTATTTGAGACCCAGGTTGACTTATTTTCAAAAAACGTTTTTTCTTTTTGATAATATTAGAAATTTTAAAAAAAAACTATAAATTATAAACTATTTACTTGATTACTACTCAAGTCCAATATATCACGAAATATTTATCATGACATTAATATATAAGGATTTTTTTCTTCTGAAAGTATACCAACTTGGATCTCAAAAAAATTAGGATTTTATAGAGATTTCATAAATAGCAAATATAAAAATTTTAGAGGGTTATTTTGATATGACTTAATCAGTGTTGTTTCACTCAGCCTTAATCTAGTTGATTAACGATAAAGCAAAATATATTAGGTTAAAGTCGGGATGACTGATGCCGACACAACAAGGAAAAATAACGAAAAAGGCGAAAAGACAAGTTTTGAGGTTTGGTTAAACGAAGTGTTCTGAGAGATTATAGAAAGAAAAGGTTATTCGAAACTTAAGTTCATCAGTTGCCAGCACCATGTGCAGGCCTTGTTTTAAATAAAAAGTTAATACATAAGCTTTTTATGAATATAGAATTTATAAAATCAGTGTTGATAAACGGCGTAAATCGGTGTAGTTAGCCAATAAATTTTTAACGGCAAAATGTTCTTACCTCCGGCTCCAGTGGCTTCCGCTTTTCTATTGGCGACCTAGATAATTGCGATTTTTTTTTTGATTACGATTAGCCGCTAACTAATCGAAATGCGACTTTTTTCGATTTATGAGCACAAAAATCGCAGCGATTACAATTAACCCTTTCGCTACCGGGCTCGGCAATCTTATATTACCGTGACAAAAAATTATGTTTTAACCCAACTACCATCAAAATTATATTATGGGTTTAAAAATGTTCAATTTTTTCAAAAATTGGGTCTTCAGGTCTTGCGATCAATAATGGCGGAATTTAAAACTAAATAATATTTTTATTATAAATTCAACCAAATAAAAATGTCTTACTTTTATCAGATTATTTTCAAATTTAGAGTCAACAATCAGACATATATAAGTAATTCTGAAAAGTTTCAAGTCTTAAACATCATTTTATCATAAGTTATTATATTTATTAGGTTAGTGAGTCTTTTGGTCAAAAATTTCAATTGATGTTTTCTTCAAAAAAGAACAAATAAAAATATTAGAATCAAAAAGTAACAACAGTAGACACGTCAAATAAAAAAAACATGGATATATACTAATTTCTACACCAAATCTAGCACTATGTGATAGATTTCAAAGCAGCTATCAATATGTAGCCCTGGCTCACCGGGACAAGTTTTGCATACATGCACAGTTTTTAGTGGTTTGCCATTGTTATTAAAAATTCGTTGTGCATAGCAAACACTGCATAATTTAGATTGACGTCTATCTGTTGCATCGTGTGATGGCTGTTTCGTTCCTGGGAAATGACGCCCAGTAAGCCTGTGTATAGCACGATCAGGAACAAGTATTTTGTTTAACTTTGGTGAAGATAAAAATAATAGTTTCTAGTTTCCGATACCACTTGTACGTTTTCCGCAACAGGTGTAAACTCTGGAGTTGTTGGTTAACACGATCTTCACCACCCATGTGGCTATTGTATTCTTTTACACAAATTGGTTTTTGAATATTTAATCCACGAGTATTTTCAGTAAGTCTCATGGACGGGTTGATGATATGTTGACAGCATATAGACAACTTTTTGTTTACCTGAAGCTTTATCTTTCAATGCACAGAATTTGCAAGCCAGCATTTGACTGTTGGCATCATTATTTTTATAGAAAACTGCATACCTTTTCCTAAAACCTCATTAAGAATATCTTTTGAATAATTATATCGATTTGACCTAATTGTGCGACATAGACGTGTCTTGTTATCAAGAAAATACTTTGCAAGTGTTGTACTAGTGTAATAATTGTCTGTATAAAGAGTGTGACCTTGACCCATAAAAGGTTCCATCAGCACAGATGGTATTCTTGCTGATGAAGGCATCTGATCATTTATATCATCATCAGCAAACATTCCCTTCCCACAGTATACAAGTTGCTAGTTTATATAATTTTATACCAAAACGGGCACGTTTGGTTTCAATATATTGACGGAAATGTAAACGACCCTTATAAAGGACAAGCGATTTATCAACACTGAGATTTTTTCCTGGTTTACATGCAGTTTTGAATGCAGAATGTTTATGACTGGTCGTACTTAGTGAGGGCGACTCTGTTTTCATCAGTTGCATCATAATTTTCATCTTCACTGTTATTAAAATGAAAAAATTTCAGTAATATATTAAAACGATTTCGACTAATAACTTCTGAAAAAAATGGAGTATTATATAATGAATCTTTTCACCAATACATACTAAGTTTGGGTTTATAAATAACTGCCATTAAAAGAATGACAGCAATAAAGGTTTTAATTTCTGCAACATTAGTTTCCTCCCACAAAGAAGAGTTATCTGGATTGTCAGCAAAAATTTGCTTTGCATACCGATTGGTTTCAGCTAACAAAGTTACAAGTTCAACTGGAAAGTAGAGTTCGAAAAAATCAAGTAAAGTTAGGCTTTGCCCCATTCTAACATTTAAACCCTCTTGAAAAATGTTCAGGGAAATCCATTAGATTACCAGGAACATCTTTATTAACTTTTTCCCAAGTTGACAGAGGAAGTTTCTGACTACTATTACATACTTTACCACAACCATGCACTCTACCATGATGATGCACTGTACAATGTTTACCTTGGACAACATTATTAAGTATATTGACATTAAATGCAGCATCATCAGCGATAGCTTCTCTATAGTTAGCATGTATAGGATCAGCACCACTTTTAACAGAAATTAATTTATTATTACATTGAATACCAGTACCCCCTCGAACATGCACACGTCTGGTACCTCTACCTCTTGTACGTGGGCTCTTTTTATGAGTGACAAAAGTCTCAATTTCCCTGTCACTTGTGCTTGAAACACAAAAGCTTTCACTGTCAGTATCATTAAATGATGGCAAAATATAATTTAAAAAAGGAACAGCAGCTTCCAATTTATCGACATTGTTTCTATTTGTAATTTGAACTTTTCTTTGAATATTAGTAGCTGTCATACTGTTTTCAACTTCAAATTCTATTAAATAATCATCCTCATCATTGCTAAAGTCACTATCATCAAGATCAATTTCTTGATTGCTATCTTCGTCACTTTCTTCAAGTACAAAGTTTAGAATTTCGTCCATATGTGAGATTTTTTTTGGCATAAACACGATGAACTTGCCATTTTTCAAAATTGAATATCAGCTAATCTAACTAAGCTTTTTTCATGCGGTTTTCGCTGTATGATTGGATTATTATTCTAGTTTTTATTAGGCTAAGTTTTAAAGTCGCTCAAAAAAACCAGGGGTTGACAGAAAACTCTTCATCCACCGCTATGCGGGGTACTGGTATTTAAAGACATATTTTATTACCCGCTATGCGAGGTATCGGTAACGAAAGGGTTAAATCGTGTTTTTATCGTTATTCTCGCAACATACCGCAATTTTATCAAAAAATCGCTATTTTATAGATAATGCTTAACAAATTTTCAGTTCGCTAGAGCACTGTACAGGGCCGACGACACGAATTTTGTTGGGAGGAAGGGGACTTAAAAAAAGTCTTCTATATCTAGAATTTTATTAAAAAAAAAAAAAAAAAAGTTGAAAGATTAGGTTTACCATTTTGAATTTATATTATTTATTAGAGATAAACTTAACATATATATTTTAACTAAGTTTCTTAGTGTATTCTTCTTTTATATCCTTTAAAACTAATAAAATTTTAACAATTGCGTATTGGTTTTACAAAATTCAACTAAACTATAGCAAATAGGAATAACTCTTCCAATTAACTATCAATTATCTGCATTACAGCAGATTAATTGCTATTAGAAAACTATTTGCCATAGACCCGACAAATCGCAAAAAACTGCAAAAACAGCGGAAATTAAAAAAAAAAAATCGATGATGCGATTTTTTTTAAAAAAATAAATTGCAAAGCGATTTTTATAGAGCAAATTGCCGGGCGATATATTGCGCATCGATTTTTATCTAAAAAATTGCGTGCGATTCAATGCGATTTTTTTAATCGCTTAATCGAAAAAAATCGCTTTTGCGCTAACCGCCAATGCGGTAACGCCAGTGCTTACTTAAATTAAATTTTTTAAACATCAAAAACTTTTATGAAAAGTAGACTTGTTTTTAAAAAGTAAATTTTTTTGCAACGTAACTGAAAATGAAAAACGCTCTTTAGTGAAGCCAAATAATATTCTATGGAGATTTTTTTACCTAAATAAATTCTCGTGTAGTATGATATTTTTACTACTACGTTTTTAACTAATAAAAAATTTTTGCCCCCCAGTGAAAAGTTTGATTCAAATTTTTATTGTCATGAGATTTTTACTCCCACATAAAACTGTATTTTGCGACCACGTATTTTTTCAATACTATTGACAAAATACAACGACCACAATTAAAAGATAAAAATAAGATTTTTGTAATTAGTTTTTAAAATTTTTAAAAGTGTTGACTAAATATATCGTTTACAAATGTGTCATATTCACAACTACATACAATTATAAGTGCGTAAGATTTTAGTCTCATCTTAATTGATAGTTAAAAGTATGACTATGTTATTATTGCGATTATATGCATATATATATATATATTATCTATATATATATATATATAAATATATATATATATATATATATATATATATATATATATATATATATATATATATATATATATATATATATATATATATTAGCTATATAGTGTATTATTACACAATCATTATCAATTACAGAAGACGTCATTCACAACAAGTAATAAATAATTTGTTTAAAAAAAGTAGCCTTTTTTTTTGAGAACTTGTTTACGATAGTTTAAGCTCTATGTAGAGCAAGAAATGGAACAGTTATATAAACTTTATGTTGAAACGGTTTTTATATAACGAATAAATTTATAATATCACTTGGCAAATAAACGAGGGATCTTAATACACAATAGGGTTAGAAATATAACTGTTAAATCTAATTAACAGGAGAGTCTTAATAAACGGGAGAGCCGGAATATTAAACAATACAAAATATAAAACAGTCCGCAGTACTTTTAAACAGGAAAAACGTTATAAGGTATAGGGCAATAGCTGGGCACCACTTTTAGTGAAACTTTAAAAGTAGCAGAATCATTTTTATTGACGTCATGTTTAAATAACCTATTTTAGCGGTTTTTAAATTAGTATTATTTTAGTTCTAATTCTGAACGGTCTAAGATATTCAGTAAGAAATATAATGAAAAGATAATATTAAGAAAAGAAATATAACGAAAAGACTCAACCTGCCAAGCAAACGGGTGATTCTTAACAAATAAGAGGGCCAGAATATGAAAAAAAGTGAACAATAAAAACAACAAACTTTCGACGAGAAAATTTTCTCAACATTTTGAATGGCTGCAGCAAATAAAATTAACATTAAATAAAATTAATCAGAAGCAATTCTGTATTAAAGATAGTGTAGCTCCTTGAATGTCATAAAATCTACCTTACAAGGTAGCATTAGAATTTTTTCTATAATTTTTGTTTATTAAAATTTATACTTATTTCTTGTTTTTATATTTCAAAGTTTCATATAATAAGTGAGTGAATGCCTACTTATATATTTTTAATAATTTAATATTTGACAAATCTTTTGTTTGGTCTTGCCACACACAGAGTGCAATAATAAAAATACGCGCTAAGACATACAACATTTATAGCCATACTCGCAATGTATTGTAAATACATTGACTGACATAAATAAAGATAGGCTCAGTGGAGTAAACATGTATCAACTGAGGGTATATATTACAAATAATGCGTGTCAGCATTTTATAGGTTGGAAACCTAAAAAAAGAAATACCGCTGAAACAATTAAAACGTTTTAATACCAAATTTAAACTTTTTAAACTCAATTTAAACCCTTTTAAACTTTTTAAAGTATAGAGTCAATACTTTTTAACGTTTTATAGATTGTGTATTTTTGTTCTCGTTTTTGTTGTAGCGAAATACAACGAGGTCGCAAACTTTTAATGAATATTAAAATAATATTTTATGAAGATATTATTTTAAAATATTTAATTGTTAAAAAATAAGAATAAAACGTTATTGTAAATAGTAAAATAATAATAAAAAAAATTTAGGATGTCGACTTGTTCAAAAAAAAACTTTGATCGAAATCTGACAATTTAATTACATATAAACTTTTTCGTCTAACTATTTTTTCAACTTAATTACATAAATTTTTTGGTCGAAATTTTTTCGCCAATGGCATGGAAGTAAAATTTCCAAATTTAAACTTTTGTTTTGAATATTTAATATTCGATATTTATATTCGAATATTCGATAGTTAAAAGAAAAAAAAAATCAGAATTTTTTTAAATAGTCAAAACTTTTACAATGAATTATATAAAACGTAACTTCGATGTCAATCTTTTAACATTTATTCGTTATTTAATATTTAACTTGCTTGTTAACTTAAAAACAAACGTTTTTAAGTTAACAAGCAATTAAGTAAAGATCCAACAAATTAGGTAAGTAAACAATTAGGTAAAGGTCCAACAAGCAGAGCTATACTGTTTCTTTGCACGTGTCATCAAACCATGCTTTGATGTAGACACACACAACAAATACAGGTTGAATTTATAGTTCCTCAATTATTAAATACAGGTTACAATTATAGTTCCTCACAAATTATTTAAATCGATTCAGTTCTTTAAAATTAAAATTTTTACCAATAACCTGGCATGGTGCATGGGCCCTGGAGGTATAAACTAAACTGCATAAGCAGGTGTGCCTTCGAGAAAAATAATACATCTCTAGGCTAGTTGTTTTAAAGCTGCTGCATGACATCATCTTTATCATTCTTTCTGGATCTAGCAACAACATCATTGTCAATTCTAATTTTGTGGTTTGATTGATCTACAAATTTCCAGAATTATTAAAAACATCCTGGAAACGTCCTAATAATTTCCAGAATCGAAAACATCCTACAAATTTTCATAATACAAAAACATCCTACAAAATTGTTAAAAACGTCCTGGAAAGTTTTTAGATCAATCAAAGAAGGTGGCATTGCCCGAACCAGAGATGTCAACTGACATACTTTCATAAAACTCACTAGCCAAGATTAGCTCGATTATGTGAAAACAGCATACAAAATGAAGTTGGTTTTTTTCCAGTTTCTAATCCAGCAATATATAATACGGACACCATTTCTGCAACCAATGTTGTTTGTTGTTGTGTCAAAGAATTTAATCTTTACACAGTCTACTAGCCTTAATTCCTCCAGCAATTTGGCAACTGTGGATACATGTATTTTTCCAATACCACCAGAATGTAGCAGGTCAGATCAGAAAGTAGTTTACCATCCCAATGCACAGCTGAAGAAGTTTTTTTATTTATTTTTTTTTTAATTTTTCAACAGTTTCTTCCTGATATTATTATTGCTTTCTGTGAATTGAAGAGCAGCTGATTTTTAACTTATCTAAACTGTGGCATAGACATTTATCTAGACAGATAAATGTCTATGCCACAGTTTAGATTCGTTTCCAATGAAGGCTTGCTAAAAGTGGCAGCATCTGCTGCCACCTTTAGCAAGCCTTCATTGGAAACGAGTGCGCTTATTATTAGCTTAAGGCGTTTATTTCATACACAGAATGTTTGTGTTTCAAAGCCTACCTCTTCCCAATATTTTTGTTGTTATTTTACTTGTCCCCTTCCTTTTTGTCTGCTATGTTATTGGTGAAATATATGTAAACAATTATTAACAACTATTATTAACAATTGTATAACAATTAACAATAACTATTATTTATAATTGTTCACCAACAACATAGTAGACCAAAAAGGAGGCGCAGGTAGAACGAACCCCACAGAGCTGAATTATAAAAAGCAGTTTCCTAATTTGTTAGTTTTGCTTTTTTTTTTGTTTTTGAAACTTAGTTTTTTCCGCAACTTTTAATATAGAAAAACTTGCAAACTGCCATGACCAAGTTGTCTAAAATAAAATACTCATAAGTTGACATATGAAAAACTGAACTCGTTTCCTGAAGAGGCTTGTTTAGTGTCACAATATATATTGTCAGTCATAATTGTTTTTTCAAAATTGTTTACCTATTTGGAAAAGTTGTCAAAAAAATAATAAACCTAAATATTTTACTGTTTTTGTTTTCTTATTTTTAGAGTGTTTGTTATTTTTCACTACTAAGATTGACACAAGTCGAGGAAAAAAATAGATAAAAATATAACAAAAATAAAAAAAAATTTTAGCAAGTTTTTTTTAGTCAGTATAATGAGGAAATTCTTTATAATTTGCGCTAGAACCATGAACAATTTTTAAATTTGTTTTTCAAATGTTTTTGCTAAACTTTACTGTTTGTATCAATGCACAGGAAAGCGAGAAAATTAATTGCTATTTATTTGTAAAAATTTTTTTTGTAAACAAGTTTTCCATGTAAAAAATAAAAAAGTAAAAGTCATTATTTCTAATATTTAAATATAAAATATTTAGTTGTTTTTAATACCATCATTGAAATAGTCTGCACTTTTGTAGGATTATTCAAATTGTGCATTTAAACCTGTTAAATAGTTTATTTCCTGATAAACTATTGTTATTGACGATGATGAATTATTGAAACACTTTATAAGTTAAAAGATGCAAACTGCCGTGGTCAGTTTGTCTAAAAAAAATACTTTTAACGTGGACGAACAAGGCGTGCAACTGCACACGCTTCCCTGTAAGAATTGCTGACCAGAATTATTTCTATATGTTTTGGAACAAGATACTAAGTGGAAATAATCATATTTTAATGCTTTTTTATAATCAAATTTTAATGCTTTTCCGCATTTTACTTTATTAACTCCCATAGAAAAAATATACCTCTCTCATTTTAAAAAAAGCTGCACCAGTGAGTAGGCTATCACTACCAGCTTGGTGTTGTGGACCAATTCTTTCTAACTAAAAAATTATAAATATAATCATGGACTGTTAAAAAACATCTTATTTGCAAAAAATAAGTAAAATTAATATTTACCTCTAAAATTTCAGAAACTTCTTGTAAACCTCCCTTTAAACTCTTGCAACTTTTCATGAGGTATTTAACATCATATATTTTTGGGAAGAACATCCTTAATAATTCAAAAAAATCAGCTTCTTCTGCAGGTAGAGCTTCATTTGTAAGTAATTTGAGCAGGTAGCCAAAGTCATAGCCACTATAAAAAAAACTATTTTTCGCTTAATTTGGTTTCCTTAAATATTTTTATATATATATTTTTTAATATAAAACAACATTACAATTAAAACTACAATAATAATTATAACACACACAATTATTTTTTCAAAAACAAAGACAAGTTTGTTAAAAAAATTTTAAATAAGCACTTGCCTATGAAAAGATAGCCAAAAGACTTGTTCAGATAAAACTATGCCTGATGTGTACATGAGTTCAGCAAAGTGATTAACATCACAACCATCTTCTTCATGGCCTTTAAATTGAATACCAGATCCAACAAGCAGATCAATAGAATCTTGAGCATACATGTCTTCACTACATGGACAGAAATTTTATGCATTGTACAAAACCAGAACTAAAATTTAGAGCACAAATTTTTGCAAAAAAAAAAAAAAAAAAAATTAAAGTAGTTAATTAGACCCTTGTCGTAAAGCGTTTGGACTCTTGCTGTGAGCAATTTCTAGTTTTATTGCTTTTGAAGGCCAATTTATTTAACTATATACTTTACTGTTTTAAGAAAGGCATTCATGTGATTATTTTTTATAGATTTTTAACTGCCAATAATATTTATAGATTTTTAAATGCAATATAATATTTTATCTCTGTGACCTAGTATGACACAAAAATCCACCAACTTAATGCACATATTTTATAAAAGAAGCTGATAATTCTTTATGTTTTAATAAACAAAACTAAGACACGTGACCTAGAGGTTTGCTTTTGCAATTTTACGTTACCAATACATTAAAATTAGGATTTATTAAAAAAAAAAAAAAACAATTATTTTTTCAAGATAAAACATATACCCTAAATTAAATCGAAAATTAAACTGCCATGTTGAGCCAGTATTAGGCTGTTCTCCTTTATCGTTATAAAATGTGAAACCTATCTGAATAATTTTCAAAAGGTCAACATTACATCTTAAAAGTTGATATTGATAATCTGAAGAGCTTTTAAAATCACCAATAGGACGTGCTACTACACCTGGAAACTCTGTATCCTAAAGAAAATTTTTACTCTTGCAAAATCATTATTGTAACAGTATAATAAAAAAAAAATTCTTAAATATATCTTGTAGTAAAATCAACTTTAAGATAAAACAAGATTCAGACCATTGCAACATAAGGATAGTTGACCATAATTTCACGTATCTTATGAAATTCATCATCCATATTGTAATTCCAGACATCTATAATTGTTGGTTCTGCAACAGTAGAAGGCATGATTATATTTAATTAACACTTTTTCATTATTCTTAACTCTATGAAAATAAGTTTATATACACATGTAATAGGGTGCAAAATATTTTATTATATTTTTCACATTTTGTTGTGGAATTCTATGCTATCCTATTAATCATATGTAACAAGAACTGTAATTATTAAAAAAAACTTCAATATTGTTAAAAAATACTGTTGTTTAAATATTAAATATTATACTTGCAACAAAATACTTATTTTATTAATAATACCATTTCATAGTGATCTTATTTTTGTGACAACTTTTTTATTTCAATAACTAGAATATTGTTTTAATACTCACTTATAGTAGTACAATGGACTCAAAAATATTTCTCAAAAAGAAGTAAAATGGTCTCAAAAGAAGCAAAATCACTTAAAAAGATAATTATGTTACATAAAAATTGCTAGACTTTATAAAATTTCATCATTCATAAACTGTTTTGACATTTTGGATTGCATGTCAACAACACATTTTTTTTTTCTTAATGCATTTTTTTTTGGAGGAAGATAGAGGTGGGGGAGGGTAAGTAGGAGTAGGGATCAATAATAAGATACTTTTTTGAATTTGTTTAAATATTTTATATTTAAACTACAGATTTCCAGAAATTTGAATAACCCATATAATTTAAGAATAATAAAAATCTAATAAGAAAACACCAATCCAAGATAAAAGTAATTGTTTTATGCAAAAAATTCAAGTCTATACAAAAATCTAAAATGTGTCTTTGATGAATGGAGATTTTAATTGTATTAACTTGTATAAAACAAATCCACAAAAAATCGCATTTAGCTGATACAATTTTTGAGTGCATTTTTCAGATTCAAGAATTACGGACATTTAGTAGCTCCTGATGAAAAACATTCCGTAGCCGACAGCAAAACTGATCGTAGTTATAATTATTACCACTTGAGTGAATTTCAAATATTTTTTTAAAATCTCATTAAAATCTTTGAAAAAAGATTTTTAATTAGTATATTCTAAACTTTGACTATAACATTTAAAAAAGTAAGGATTTAACTTCTTATTTTTATGTTTTAAAACATATGATTAAGAGTATAACAATCAAGTTAAAAGAGATCGTATTTAAATTCTTCTAACTACTTAAACACAAAAGGCATGAGGTACGTTTATCGATTTGCCAAATAAGCTTTACGTCATAATTCTTTGTTTAAACATTCCCAATTTTAACAATTCGGAAAAAATATATTAATCATGTGTTTTTTATGCAACATTTTTAATATTATTTTAAAATTAAGAAAAATAAAAATAAAAACATATGAAAATACATATTATTCAGTTGAGGAAAGAATTAAAGAGTAAAAATAAAGTTTCTTTATTACAAAAGTATGTTAAAAGCAAAAGATTAAAAGTTAGATTCTCCTAAGTGTGGTGTAAAGATCAATTTAAAGCAGTCGAATCGAAATATATGGAATCGAAATAAAGAATTAAGTACTGGATGGTTTATAGAGAGCTTAGTTGTATTCTGTCTCGTGTTAGCTTATAAAACTATGAGAGTTTTAGAATATTAATATTTGACAGATATTCTACATAAGGAAGATGGTTATGGGGTCACCAAACTCAGAACATACTGGTGAGGCTATTTTTTTTAGGGCCTTATAAAATCACGTGTTTTGATGTTGTTGCTTTAAATTTTTTTAAATTATCACTTAGATTTTAATAGGCATTGAATATTTGTATAAATTTCTTTCTCTTTTCTAATATAGAATATAGATTTTAATATAGATTTTTTTAAATATAAGAACAGCCACCTGTTCCACGTTCATTTGTGCATAAAAAATTTAAATTGGATGAATATCTTAATAGTTTTATGTCACTGTCTTCAAAGTTCGAGCGCTTTCCAATGATAATCCCAATAATTTTTTTATTTACCACAATTAAACAATTATTAAAGTTTTAATTTTTTGTTTATTTGTTTAATAACAAAGACTTTTTTATAATATTTTGACCAAAATAAATTAGCATTTATTTGTTAATAAATTACAGCTTTCAACACAGTAAATACAGCTTTCAACACAGTAATTTGAAATTTGGTAAAAAAAAAAGATGTATCTTTGAGTTTATTATTATTATAATTAATGTAATTATTTCAAACTGTTTGTGCATTTTAAATAGACACAAGGTCCATAGATACAAATAGATACAATTGTATATAGAATAAAACGTATTATTCAGATATTCTGTTAATTGAATCAATAGTAATATTTTTTGTTAAGAGTTTGGAAGAAGTTGGGAACCTTAGACCTAAAAACATCTGAGTGAGAATGCAGTACTTTTCGTATTCAAAAACATAATGCAACAAATTTCCATAGGGAAGCATTATATAAGCATATGCAATGTGAGAGGAATAACTTTAACACCTGTAAAACTAAAGGCTTGGACACCTGTAAAAGAGCCTTATCCACATATTTGTTTGAGTATATAGGTTTTTCTCATTTTTTATATCCATATCTGATAGACCATTTTTTACTATATAGCCAAAGTATTTTAACAAATATTTTAGCTTTTAACAAACTCCAGTTTGCAACATGCTACACTCAATTTTGGAAATAAAAGTTACGCACACATATATTTACAGTGCTTTCAAAATAAAGGCACATTTAAACGCTGTTGATAAAAGTTTATTTAACATATCGCAAAATAAAAACTAAAAAAGATATTCTATTTTTGCATATATTTCCAAAAAAGATTTTGTTAAACAAATCTTGCATATCTTGGATGTCATACTAAAACTATACCATGTTTTAATATGACATCCAAGATATTATCAAAACCATTATCAAAGAGAAATAACTCCTGGATCCTGTTGATGTTACCTATCATTTTAAATATTGTTGCCACAGTTCTCTGAAATTTTTAATCTTTTTGCTATTTTTATGTTACTAAAAATGAAGCCATCCTTTCTATCTATTATTTGCTTTTGTACCAATTCAGTGGTACAAAAGCAAATAATAGATAATAAATCTTAACTCTGAGATCTTATCAAAATGTTCGGAAAAAGTATGTGGCTAAACTGATCATCATAAGGAATTTAATGCAACATTTTACAGGAATTGTAAAACTAATTATTTTGTTTTAATTTTTTTGATATGTTTTTTATGTTTCCTTGATAAGCTAAATTAATAACAAGAGTAAAAGTGAACATGTTTTTGAAATCTCATTTTTCGGAAAAAAAATAGCAGTGAATACCATTAATTAAGTATTTAAATTGCTAGTATTTTTTCAATACCACTGAATACAACAAATACAACATATGTAAGTTTTATTCATTGTATTGCATATAGTTTTTTAAAATAAGAAATTATGTCTTGCACACTTTTTTAATTAAAAAACAAAAACAAAAAAACAACAGCATGCAATAGAAATAAAAAATTTAAGTAGAAATAAAAGCTTAGCACAGCAACTTTCTTATTAGTGTTTTGGATTTTTTTTTATCAATTAGTACTAGTTCCATGTTTAAGGAAAACAGTCTGACCGTCGCTTGAAGGTTTCTTTTAAACCAGCAAGATTATATGCAAAATTTGAACTCCTAACTAGAAATAGTTAAAAAGTTATGAAATAAAGTCTTAAAATGTTTTTCAAGTTTAGTCAAAAGTGTTCTTGTTTCTAATCATATCTGCCAATATGGATTTTATAGTGTCACATTTTCCTGAATATATATTGGAATCCAAAAATGTAAAGAAAATAAACCATTTTTTAATATTTGATTATTTTTTGTTTTTAAAATAATCAAAGAAAATATCTGAAGATTTTTAACTTTTACATTAAAAGTGCTCATATTATTTTACAGGTAATCTTTGTGAGTATATGTCGGATACAGTGAGTTTTTGATCTAGTAATGGAAAGTCAAGTTGTACCAGGTGAAATGCTTTGTCCTCAATGCAGGTATAAGTTAACATCAAGTGAAGAAGATAAAAACTGAGATAAATTACAAGTTGAAATTGAAGACAATTTAGAAAAATATGTTGTTGGAGTCAACAAAATCATTATTCAACAGTATTTTGTGGTTCAAAATTGTCTTTTTAAAAATTTTATTCTGTCAAATTCTATAACAAACCTGTTATTTGAAAAGAAAAAAAGTTAAAGCAAGTTTAAAAAAATTTAAAATATCTACTAAAAAACTTGCAACTATTCACTGAGACCAATATTAATGCTCCCTATAACATTCCTAAGAAGATCCTAAATAAAATAGAGATGTGAACCAAAGTTTTAAATTAAAGGTGGCAACTTCAAATTTTGTCATTGATTTCAAAATCATGTTATAAAAATAGCAATAGAGCTTTCAAAAACAAAACTAAAAAGGTAACATTCTTTTGTAACAAAAAAGGTATCATAATATACCTTGATATAAAAAACATTGAATCAGCCATACTTTGTAAAACTTTTTACTGTGATTATGAATATTTAAAGCAAGCAAAAGTACATTATGATGGACCAAAAAATTATGTATAACTTCAATGAGCTCTTGAGCAACATAAAAGATAAAGTACATTAGATTGGTTTTCTGCTTAAATGGTGCATTCTTGCTGGTCTTAAAAAAAACATTCAGTTTGTGTGCAAAGTACGCCAATATTGGGGTACTGAAGTCTTAAAAAGTCTTAACATGCTAAAATTGTGGTTTAAAATGCATGTTTATTTTGCTCCATTATTTATATTAAGATGACCTAACATCTCTTTTATGTAATACAATCTTTTAAACTAAATAAAAGTTAGACAACTTCAAGGATTAGTTTAAATGCAGCCTATGGTAATAGAATAGAAAATTTGTCTTTTTATTTAATGCTGTTTTAGATAGTGTTCTCAATAGAATAGATTTTTATAATAGCTATTAGTTTAAATAACTTTTTAAACAAAGTATTAAAAATTCTAAATGGAATGAAATGGATGGTTAGGCGCCAAACCAGCCTATACAACAAAATTGAAAATAATGGGTTTAAATCAAAAAATGATTTATATAGTATTTATTTGCAAACAGCAATATATTGTAATATATTATACTTAATTTTTTTAATGCACTGGACATCGATTACTTTTGGTTTGGTGTAGCCACCTTCATTAAAAACTTTTAAATTTTGTGTCCAATTATCTTATTTCAACATATTAGTTATGTAGGTTGGTTTAGAGCTAAGACATCTGAGTACATAGGTATGAATTTGTGTGATATTGTTTATCTATGAGAAGAAATGTCTGTGCAATTTAATTTATATTCTGTAATAATGCTTTTAACTACAACTTAAATTTAGATTTTGTTAGTATATGTAAATGAGTTTTATTTTGAATGATTTTTAATGATACCTTATTTAGTGCAAGTGTCTACATTGGCCCTTGCTGAAGCTGCTCATAGAGAATATCAAGCTGGTAATTATGACCGAGCAGAAAAACTTTGCATGCAATGGTGGAGGCGTGAAACAGACAGCACTGGTTGTTTATTATTGTTGTCATCTATACATTTCCAGTGCAGAAGGCTGGATCAGTAAGTCATCCATCAATTTTAAAGATTATTTTCTCTTTAAATTTATTTTTTTTAGTTATGTTAATGAAATATTGTCATATAGGTCCTTTTGTCATTATTGCCCTTTCTAAAAATTGTTTAATAAAGTGAAAGTGTAACTTAGTTGTTTAGTTTGTAACTTTGTTGATCAGACTGTGAATAACATTTAAATTTATTAGATTGAAAAAAAAAATGTATTAAAGCTAGTTATAGTAAAACAAAAGTTGTTTAAGTAAAAATATGAGCTTTAAATTATGTAAAAAAAAAAAGTTTTTTTTTTTGTATTTAAATTTGCAATAAATGTGTAATAAGATAACTATGCTTTAGATCTGCACAGTTTAGTTCTCTTGCAATCAAACAGAATCCTATGTTAGCTGAAGCTTACTCAAATCTTGGAAATGTTCTTAAAGAGAAAGGCCAGCTTAAAGATGCTCTTGCAAATTATAGGCACGCAGTGAAATTAAAACCTGATTTTATTGATGGGTATATAAACTTAGCAGCTGCACTTGTTGCAGCTGGCGATTTAGAAGGGGCTGTTCAAGCTTATGCTACGGCTCTGAACTATAATCCAGTATGTTGGATTATAAATTTTTTTATCATCAGTTATATTATTATAACAAGTAAATTTAGCAGTTTCATGACAGTAAATAAAATATTTTTTATTTCTATAGGATCTTTACTGCGTGAGAAGCGATCTTGGTAACTTATTAAAAGCTTTAGGGCGTCTTGAGGAAGCCAAGGTTAGTTTTTCAAGTTTTTAACTGTAAATGGTTTTTGATTGTAAAAATTTAAATATTACAGCTTTGCAAAGTTGTTTTCTTTATGTCATTGTTTTATTAATTATATCACATATCAAATTTTATAATTACATTTTAGGCATGCTATTTAAAAGCTATTGAAACGCAACCGAATTTTGCTGTTGCATGGAGTAATTTAGGCTGTGTTTTTAATGCTCAAAGTGAAATATGGCTTGCTATTCATCATTTTGAAAAAGTAAAAAATAAAATGTTTTATTTAAATAGCTTTAAATTTTAATTTTGTAAAATTTTAATGTTGAAGTTTCAATTACACATATAATTGAGACTAAGAAAATTCCATAAAGTGCATTCGCACGTATGCACTTTATGTAAGATTCCTCGTATATTGTATTCCATTTTGTTACTTTACATGATTATATTATAAGGAATATGCAATGCATATTCCTTATAATCATGTAAGGTAACAAAATGATCTGTACAAAATGAACAAAATGGAAGTATAAGCTTATTTAAGAGAAATAAAAGTGTTAATAATAGAATTTGAGCTATTTTTTATGCAGTTTACACTTACTATGGTCGATTGGTTAATGCAAGTGCAACAAAGTTTTGCAAAAATGCAGACCAATTGTCTGTAATAACTGCTAAACTGTATTAACTAATACTAAGCTATCTAATTTTTTTTTTATTATTTCTTGATTAAAACAGTTAAGTTTGTTATGTTGAGCTTTATTTTTGAGTGATTATTTGTTATTTTAATGTAATTGTAATTTATTTACATTAATTACACTCAAATTAAATTTTTAATTTTAGCATGGTTTATAAAATTGCAACTTTGTAACAAAATTGTCTTTTTTTAGGCTGTACAAATTGATCCTAACTTTCTTGATGCATACATAAATTTAGGAAATGTACTAAAAGAAGCTCGCATATTTGATCGTGCTGTAACTGCTTACCTAAGAGCTTTAACAATTAACCCAAATCATGCAATAGTTCATGGAAATCTTGCTTGTGTCTATTATGAGCAAGGGTGACTTTTTTTCACTGTCATTTGCTATTGTTTTGATTTCTATAAAAATGGAGTAGTCGTAAATGTTTTTTTGGTTTTAGTTCTAAGTTTGCTTATATTTTCCCATTTAATAGATTAATTGATTTGGCAGTTGATACTTATAAAAGAGCAATTGAATTGCAACCAAATTTTCCTGATGCTTATTGTAATTTGGCCAATGCTTTAAAAGAACAAGGTAAAGTTGAAGATGCTGAGGACTGCTATGATACCGCATTACAACTTTGTCCAACACATGCAGATTCACTTAACAATCTTGCAAACATCAAGAGAGAACAAGGGCTAATAGAAGACTCTATTCGGTTATACTGCAAAGCTCTTGAGGTATTCCCTTTGTTATTATCGTTTTCAAAAAAGGTAATATTTTTTTTGTTTTAGTTTAAAAAAGATTTTTAAATCTTATTATGAGCTGCTTAAATTTTTAAATACTGCAATTTTTTGTAGTATATTTTACTATGTTTTTTGTATATTTGATTTGATATCAGTATTATTTCATTCAAATCTTTAAACTTTGCATTAAAAAAAAAAAAAAAAAACTTAACTGTAACTTTGAATAAATACTGTTGCCCTATTGTATAAGTGTCATGTGGTATATAGTTACCTATGTACAAAATGGAATTTCAGAATTTTGTGTAAATGTTGTTAGAATCCATTCTTACTTTATGCTGTACAGCATTTATATTCTATGGCAATGGTATTAGCTTAAATGAAAATCATTTGTAGGTCTTTCCCGAATTTGCTGCGGCACACTCGAATTTAGCAAGTATATTGCAACAGCAAGGGAAACTGCATGAGGCATTGATACATTACAAGGAGGCTATAAGGTATTTAGTCCTAATTTCTTAAAATAAGTTCACTACTCCTCCTCTCTCTTCAGGCATATCCTGACTTTGCCGTGGCCTACTCCAATTTAGCCTGTGTACTACAAGAGCAAGGTCGTCTTCAAGAAGCCATAATCTATTACAAGGAGGCTGTGAGGTATCACTTTATTAGCTTGAAGTGCAGATCTCATTTGAAAAATTTCCTATAATAAAAATACTATTTAAGACATCACAACATGTTATTATTTTTGTTAATAACATGTCCAATCCAATATTTAGTGTTTTAAATGCTTGTCTTATATCACATTTAATTCAAAAAAAAAAATTTTTTTAAGTCTTAATCATAATTAAAATTATTTTTTTATTTTTTTATCAAACTGTTGTTTTGATGAGTCATCTTTTATTTGCCCTATTAGGTTTTTAAAGTTTCTGACATTGACATAATTTTATGTTTTTTTGTTTTTAAATTATTAAATAAAATTACAAAATCAATTATTTCTTTTATAGAATTCATCCGACATTCGCAGATGCTTATTCTAACATGGGTAACGCATTAAAAGAAATGCAAGATGTTGAAGGAGCTATTCAATGCTATTCAAGGGCAATCCAAATCAACCCTGCTTTTGCAGATGCTCATAGTAATCTTGCATCTGTTTATAAAGATTCTGGAAATATTGCTGAGGCAATACAGTCTTATAAAACTGCATTAAAGTTAAAACCTGATTTTCCTGATGCATATTGTAACTTAGCACATTGCTTGCAGATTATTTGTGATTGGAGTGGTTACGACAACAGAATGAAAAAGTTGTTGGCTATTGTTGATGAACAACTTGGAAAAAATCGATTACCTTCAGTACACCCTCACCATACTATGCTTTATCCCCTTTCTCCAATACAAAGGAAAGCAATTGCAAATAGACATGGTAATCTATGTATTGATAAGGTTAGGTATTTTTTTCTCCTAATTTTTTTTGTTTGTTTAAGATCTTAAATATAATATATTAGCATGCTTTTCAAAATCAACTAGATTTATATTTTTTTGATTTATACTCAATACGTTCTCATAAAAGTTAGTGATGTAATGACTGCACATTTGTGTCCAATGTCGTTAGACAGAAAAGGCTGATACTGGTTTATTACCTGATTATTAAAATATTGATCAAAATAATATTTCAGGTTAAGATCACATCATCGCTGGTAACATGTATCCTTGCACTGTTTTCTCATCCAATAGGCTGAGAAGATTTAAATATGTGTTACATTGTTTTCTGGTTACAATTATGAACAACAGTTTCTCTTGACTCTACTCATAAATTTTTACATGTGCCTCCTTGGTGGTGGCCATGCATCTCTTTCTACTATTTTCTAATGAGAGTACAGTTTTAAAACTCAATTTAGTGGATTCCATCAACAGCTGTAAAATAACAGGGTGTTATGCATGTGGTTGGTATCTCTGTTAGTGCATTGCCAAGGCTGCATATAAAGCTCTATGTTACAACTTTAATTTTATTAGCAGGAAGGGTAGGTAATAGTATAATTTATTGCCTAGGGTGCCATGCACTATCTATGATTGACTCGAGTTCTCTAATGATTTAAAACAACCGTAGTACCAAAGAATATCAGGCAATGACATCATTACTACCACGTTTTTTTTCTGTACAAGTATTCATGGTCTATAAAATTATTTTTATCTGTTGAATCTTACTTTTAAAGCTCATCAGACTTACTTGCTCTTTGTAAATAAATGTTTTGTCTTTTGATGTGTTAATTGCTATTTTTCTTTTGATTCCCAATAACTTCAATAGTCATATACTTGGTCGAGGTATATTTGTTTGTATCAATTTCCTATTTATTGCTAAATTATGTATTAATCCACTAACTTTTTTGATGTGTTTTTGTTTATCACATTCTCTTCACTCAATCACTTTTCTTTTCGCTCTTTATTTTTCTCCTCAAGTTTTTAGTTTTTGGTCATTTCTATCCCTGTCTTACAATAGTATTCTAATACTCTAGAACTTCCTTTGATACTTTTTAAACTATTTAATAAGTGCTTAACTAAATCATGTTTTAACGTTTTTGAGTCTAGTTTTTTCTTATTTAAAATTAATTTCTGTCAAACTTAATTAAATAGTCTAACTTCCTCTCTGACAATCAATCAGATTTTAGCCCTCTCATTCTACTGCTCGTTTTTTTACTTTTATAAAAAAATGCTCTGTTGTACTTCAGATATGAGCGCTAAAATAGCTCTATTTACTGATGGCACAACTATATGTTCCAGTCTTGAAAAATATCAATATTTTCTTTTGGTCAGAAAAGGTAGCTCATCATAATAGTGATCTCTTTTGTTTTGTGCTCCATTGATCATATTGATCATAAATAAGATCAATTATTAATTTTATTTAGACTAGGAAAGATTTAACTGAGAGTCTCAATTAGTATTTAAAAAGACTAGTTTCTTATTTTTAGGCATTTTTCATTTTTGTCTTATTTTAAAATAACTCAAATGTTTCAGATATTCAAAACAAATGTCTTGAAATAAGACATTTGTCTTTTTAAACACGAGTTAAATAATAAGAAATAAATTCAGACAAATAATTGTAATTGGTCATGAATTTTGCAATAAAAATCATCTTGTATGTTTTCTTAAAGTTAATAAAGAAAAGCATATTTGTTGTAACTTAAGTCTATAATAAAGAAAAGCATATTTGTTGTAACTCAAGTTTATAATAAATTTCCATTAGAGATCATAATAATCAAAAAAAATTTTAAAGTTTTGAATTAGTTTACTGAAATAATAAGAATCTGGGCTCATGTTTATATCAGTTTATTATAAACTAAAGTGATTTATCCTCTATAATTATTAGTATATAATAATATAAATATAAGAATTAAAAGTTAAATTTGTATTATAAATCATAGTTTTGTCAATATTTTAATGGATTATGTGATAAAAGTTGTAATTTTAGCGCTCGTAATTTAAAAAAATGTGAAAGCAATCAATTACAATAATAAGACTTAATGTATAATAATCTATACAAGCCCTCTAGAATTTTTTTTTTTTTTTTAGGTTTCGTTACTTCATAAGAAACCATATTCTTATCCGAAAGATTTAAAATCAAGTAGTGGCCGACTTCGAGTTGCATATGTAAGCAGTGATTTTTGCAACCACCCTACTTCTCATCTTATGCAAAGTGTTCCTGGTTTTCATAATCGATCTAATGTAGAGGTAGCTACTTATTTTTAATTTTTTAATGTTCCAGTTACAAATTATCTATGACACCGATTTATGCAATCCATTGATTTATAAGTTATAATTTTTTAAATTATATTATTACATTCAATTGTTGGCAACATCTTGCTAAGCATTTCAAATTTGGTAAAAACTAAAGTATGGTGTATGACTAAGGTCATGCTGTGATTAGCCAGGATGTAGTTTAATTGAGCAAAGGTTGGCCAACTTTTGTAAGGTTATTGTACTACCAGGCTTTTGGCTCTTTTCCACTTAGTAAAATTGTTCTTAACTTTTATTAAATTTTAAAAAGTGCATAAAAATCACAGCTAATGTATAAATACGCTTTATAAGAATATATGGAGTAATTAATATAATTTTAGAAATAGTTTCTGTGCTGTAATTTAAATTTTATATTAGTATTAAATATTTTATTGCTTCATTTGCTTTACTTGTTTAAGGTTTTCTGTTATACTCTCACACCTGATGACAATACTAGTTTTCGTAAAAAGATTGAAAGTGAAAGTGAACATTTTGTAGACTTAACCCAGTATGTATGTCATGGAGATGCAGCTGATCGTATTAATAGTGATGGTATTCACATTCTTATTAATATGAATGGCTACACTAAAGGTGCACGCAATGAGATTTTTGCATTACGTCCAGCTCCTGTTCAGGTAAAGTTTATTTGTAAATATCTGTTTTTAAAATTTTTGATTTTATGGTTTAATTTTATTTATATTCATTGTAACAGCTTATGTGGTTAGGATATCCTGGTACAAGTGGTGCGACTTATATGGACTATATCATTACTGACCGCATTACATCACCAATGGCATACTCAGAACATTACTCAGAAAAGTTTGGCTATATGCCTCACACTTTTTTTGTAGGTGATCATAAACAGATGTTTCCTCATCTAATTCGAGATGTAACACATGAAAAGCGCAATGAGATTACATTAACGCAAGTTAGTACAAATTTAGAACATTCTGTTACAACAAATCCGGCTGTTTCACAGTATATAGACGAACGAATTGAAAGGCGCAAAGAAGAAGTTGCAGGAACCAAAGATAGTGGTGAGCGTGTTCCAGAGCAGATGCCACAAATGACTAGATCTACATATGGGCTTCCTGAAGATGCATTTGTTTACTGTAACTTTAATCAGTTGTATAAAATAGACCCTGCTACATTTGAATCATGGTGTAACATTTTAAAGCGTGTTCCAAATAGTGTTATGTGGCTATTACGTTTTCCTCAAGTTGGTGAAACCAATGTTAAGGCTCAAGCGGTAGCTAATGGTCTCAGTGAAGATAGAATTATATTTTCAAATGTAGCTCCGAAGGAGGAGCATGTGCGTCGAGGACAGTTAGGTGATGTGTGTTTAGATACACCTCTTTGTAATGGTCATACAACAGGTATGGATGTCCTCTGGGCTGGATGCCCTATGGTGACACTGCCATTAGAGACTCTTGCTTCCAGAGTAGCTTCATCACAACTGCATGCTTTGGGTGTAGAAGAACTCGTTGCAAAAAGTCGTAGCCATTACGAAGAAATAGCAGTTAAACTTGGAACAGACTCAGAATAGTAAGTTATTTTACTCTATTTGTAAATAATATGTTAAAACTTTCTTCCTTTTAACTTAATCTTTAAAAAAAGTTACAGTTATTATTTAGTACATTATATTGTGTTATTATTTAGTAATACGGCGTTATTATTTAATTGTATGCTATCAATTACATTTTTATTTAGAGTATATTTCTATTGAACTAAAATACTTGGTACTTCAAGCTTATTTCAAAAAACCAATATTATAATAACTTAATTTTGGTTTCGATGGTTTTATTAACTATTTTTTTTTTTCATTATAGTTACAAAAAAATAAAGTTAAAAGTTTGGGATGGTCGTTTACTGTCACCGCTTTTTAATACTCAAAAATATACACAAAACCTCGAAAAACTATATTATAAAATGTGGAGGAGATATGAAAAAGGACTACCGGCAGACCATATCACTGACGTTCTTGACTAAAGTTTATATTTTAAAATTAAATACTTCCAAAGTTAACGGAATTATGGTGAAAGTCTTGTGTTAATAGTGTTGACGATTTTCATTCCTGAAGTTCACTGCGTGAATATGGATTATCTTCCACCAACATTTAACATTGTTTTGTATCCCGTATATGTATTTATAAATTTAATGAAGGTTACTATGTAGATTAGTTATTTCTTGTTTTTTTTAACAAGAAATTTCTTGAATTATGCTAGTTCAATGGAACAGAAATATATTTAAAGTGACACATCTACCATAAATAGATTGTTTTTCTATTGACTTCACTGTTGTCTTAGATGACAGTGGTTGTTTATTAGTATTTCAGAAAATCTCTATTGAGGTTATTTCTTATAAAATTGTGATTTTTTTCTTTCAAAAATATAATTTTGAGCCTCGAGTTCACGTTCAAAAAGTTGTAAACGTTATTGCTTTCATCTATCTGTGAATAAAAAGTGCAAAATGGTTGTAGAATACATTTTAACTCAATGTTAATTTTATACTAATATTTATTTATAAACACTTTGTTTATTAACTAATAGCTTCTTTTTATAAATAAATTTAAGAAAACTTAAATAGATATTCAAAATTTGCTTCATGGGTGATCTACCACGTGCAGCCTCCAGTATTAAAAAATTCCTAAACCATGTGCGTGTATTATACATAGAGAAAAAACATCTGCAAGAGCTACATTTATGAGAAGAGCACTTGCACTCATTGTGACAGAGTGTTGGTGAGTGAGCATGTTCGTGTCAAACAAAATGTAAAAATCTTGAACCTATAAGAAAATTCTTTAGCACAATTTCTAAGAACTAATGGTTATCTTTATATAGATAATTGAAAATAAGTCTATTAAATATTTTGTTTTGGCTCAGATCCAGGAGGTTTGAGGTTCAATGCCGGTTCCGATCAGATATGCGACATTGGGTAAGGAAGGAGGCGTGAATTTATTTATATTTAAAATAAATACAGAATACAAAATGGTTAGACAGTTAATTACTAAATTTCTTTTATGTAACACCAGCAAAATAATAGTAATAAAAAAAACTTCAATAAGAATAATTGTGAAGAGAACAAGTTAGTATTCTGCACAATGACACTATCACAGTCATACTTTTTAAAATTCGATTTGAATGCAGACAGACGGCGAGTTCACTAAATGGTCTAGAAGTGAGTTCCATTCTTTAAGGGGGAAAACCCCTCAAAAACTTATTTTCTGAAGTTAAGCGTTAATAAAGTTATTACATGTTTCAAATAAAAGTATACTAAATGTTAAGAAGATCTATCATAAAAAATGGCACTCTGTTGCTATGGCAACGCGGTTACTAAGGGAAAATGTCAAATTAGTCTCTTCACCCTGGCAAAGATTGCAGTCAATTAGAATGATACTTTGAGCTGATTTTTTTCTAACTTATAGTTAAAAGATAGATCTATGCAATAAGCAGACAGTTTTTGAAAATAACTTTTCTGTCAGGTAGTAGGCCTGTTTAATTTTGGCAAAAATTTCAAGCACAAAAATGATAGATGTTTTTTTTAATTTCTTAAGTTTAAAAAACATTTTAAAAAAGTTGTCTGCTCATTGCATACATCTTTATGAGAGGAATACTCCCTGAAAATTTCATTAAAATCGGTCAAGCGGTTCTCAAGATACTTCTGCCGGGAGATTAAAAACACGCGTTCTGAGAAAAATGCCAAATAAGTTGAAATTGTGATGAAAAATATTATATAATAACAAAGATACAAAAAATATAATATAAAAAGAGCATACTGATTGTGTTTTTTAATCATGAACACCAGCTCCATACAATTTTCCTTCTTTCTGTTCAACTTTGTCAAATTTTTTAAGCTTGCGGCTTCTTAAAATCTTCCTTTTTTTTTTGATGGTGTCTTGATTTTTATACTCTGACATCATAACTCTTTTCTGGTTTAGGTAATTGCATCCAGAAATGGTATGTTGCCCTGGTATCATATTAAGTCTTTCAAATATAAGTATACTAGACTTTAATCCTATATTAAAGGCACCAATAGCATCATAGAGTCCGAATTTCAATTGCGTAAGCGAAACATACTTTGACTTAGGTATTCTAGACCATATCATTGCATTAAAACTTTCATTTTGATTCTGTGTTCTTCCATGAAGCAAACGATTTAAATAAGCATCTGATGTTAGTTCTACATAAATGGGCTTTAACTTGTGTACTATTTCAATAGGAAGACCTGGTCCGGGTTTATACTCTTTGGTTCCATTAGCTTTATCTCGATTGTATTTACACCAACTATCTGTTCCTGTGGGACAATGCGGGTAATGCCAATTATTTTTTCTTGAAGATGCTACATGAAATAAGCTAGCCAAGGCTGAAGATCTCATACCTTCAAGGTTGCCACAATTTTGCCTAATGCAAATACCAAAATAATTTTGCAACCGATCAATTGTAGCGTTTGTTAAACCGCCTTTACCATTTAAACCCTTGACTTGCTTTTTTAATTGTCTACAACGAGATCCAATGCGCTTTTGAAAATGTCCAATACAATCTAGTTTAATTACTTCAATACCCTTGTATGTGTTTTTGACAGAAGTGTAGCTTTTGCTATCACCATCACCCAAGTATTCTGTGTATCGTAAATTAAATTTTTGCAAAGAGCGATTAAATATCTTTATTGCCCCAACTGTTTCCATTCCACCGGCTGATCCTTCATAGTTTTTATTGCAAATATGTGATTTTTTTGCTGTTAGCTGCTGCTTTGAATTACCAACATCTTGATTTTTGTCACATACTTTACACTTTCTAGATAATGCTTCGACATCTAAAACCTTCCCATTTTTAATTGATAATGCTGCCGTCACCCCATTGTGTGAATTAAATCCTCTTTTTTGCCATGTTCCATCAACAGAAACTCCAATATCTAAGATCTCATTAAGAGATTTGCCTTCTCTGAGTTCTTGTACAGCTTCATTCATAGTTTCAACAGCAACAGTTTGTGCTGCAGTTGCCAATTTTTGAACAATAACATTATAGCTTTTATTGCATAATCCTTTTGGGATATTCATAAGAGTGGCAAACCGATGTAGACCAGCTTGGCCTTGACCAAGTGTTCGCATGGCATACACTATTCTTTTGTTAATATCAAACCCTGCTACATTTTTTGATGTGTCAAAGTCTAACTTGAAACCACAAACACAATTTAATGATAAATTTGATGCATATCCTTTGCAAGACTTTTTATTTTCGCTTAACGACAACTGTGATGGTCGCAAACATTCTGGACACCCAAGTTTATCAAAAATGGAAGCAAGAATTTCTAAATCAATAAACCTGTAGCCACTGACACATTTTGAGTTTCCACTTGGAACCATTAGTTGCTTTACTTTTTTTTTTGATGCACTTTTAAATACACTTTCACTTTCAATATTTACAGAGTCTACCATATTTTCATTATTACTATTTACATTATTTACACCAATATTTACACATTTTTCTTGCTTTCTTAAACCAGAAAATGTACATTTACGTTTTCGAAGACGTTTTGTAGAAAATTTTACTCTATCACTTTTATATTCAGTTTTAGACTTGTCCATTTTTTTTAATTATATAGAAAGCTTGAGTTGATTGTGTAGAAGCTTGAAAAGATGACTAATTTTAGCACTATCAGTCAAATATGTGGTTTTAAAGTATGGCTTTAGAGATAATGGGAAGCATTTCAAACTAAACTGCAAAAAAAAAAACGGTCAAAAAGCTATACTAGATGTGTTTTATTCACAGTTTTTCTGTAACTAGGGGCGTTGCTAGGTAATTTTGAACTCAGGTGGTTGTACAAAAGTGTCATTTATTGATATAAAAAAAAGCGAATTTCGACTAAGGTTTTTACCATTTGATTTCTTAATAAATTTACTTTTAAAATATCTGGAAAAAAAAAATTGAAAAAAAAAATTTTTTCTGAGAGGTTTTCCCCCTTAATGATTCTTTCGCTGTAAAAAAAATCTTCTAGTATCATTAATGTTTTTATTACGTGAAATAACCCTAAACTTTTGTGAATGACTTCTAGTAAAATATTTTGAGTTAAAAAAAGAAAAAAAATCTGAAAAAGGTAAATCAACAAGATTATGTACAATTTTGTAAGTCATATATCTTAATATATATTAAGATCAAATGTAACTCTGCGGCATTCAAAATATTCAAGTTGAAAAATAAGTTTTGAGAAGTAATCATTGTATTTAATATGACATCTTTGCAGACAGTTCTCATAAAATATTTTTGAACTTTTTCTAAGCAAATTATATCTTTTAAAAGATGAGGGCTCCAAGCTGAGTGCATGATTTTAATACTGGCCGCACATTAACTTAGTAATCTTTTAACAAAAGTTGATAATTGTTTGAGATGAAGAATTTTAAAAGTAGGTAAATGCAAGAATGTGCAATCCTTGAAATACGAGAGCAGTGATTAGAAAACTTCGTATCAAAGGACATAGTATCTATGAATATCTTTTTTAAATGCTCTTTCGGGCTGCTGTGTGATAAGACCGTTAGTTTTTGTTGGAGCAATTAAATAACTATAAAAAAAGGTAGACTACAAAATAGATGAGTTAAAGTATTGTGTGATAAAAGTAGTTCTATGTAAATAAAAATGATAAAAGAAAAGGAGTGGTAATCTAAAATCAAATATAGCGCTGTATGAAGTAAATGACGAAGTCTTGATTTCTAGCTAGGTTAAATAGTTTGTTGTAAAAAATTAATGTAAAAAACATTTTGAAAAAATTGAGTTATTGATAGTGTTATGAACCTCAAAAAAACGTTTTTCTACTGTATTGAAACCTAAGTTATAAGTAAAAAAGTAGGAGAGAAAACATACGTCATAAAAATGTTTTTATATGCCGTCTCCTAAAGTTTTTATTTTTTAAACTGTTTTTTCTCGTAATTGTTAGAAATATTGTGTTCTATCTCCACATTCTCGTAAAATGTGGAGATAAGACATAATATTTCTAACATCGCAATGTATGTATGTATGTATGTATGTATGCATGGAGTCATAATTTTATGTATTCATGTAGTAATAATTTTAAAACGCTAAGAGATTATTGCATGAAGTTTAATAATTACCGATAAATATAAATTTAGTTAAAAATAGTAAAAAAAATATTTCATCAACTTGTTGCTCTCACGTTGGGCGCAGTTGTCGCTGAAATTTTAGGATTTTTTTGTCCCCGGGCTCAATCATCGCTATTTTTTGCAAATCATTCTTATTTGATGTAAGTATTAACATTTAAATGTTTGGAGTTTGCTCCATGTTTGAAAGTTAGTTATCTCAAGCATAAAAAAATGCTGCATCCGCCCCTACTTGTAGCTAAATTTGATATACTGTAGTAAATGACGCTTTGTTCAAAAATATTACCTGGGCAACTTGCACCTTAAATGGCTCAAGAAAATTTAGCTTTATTTATGACAAAATATTATGGTAGTAAAAACACGTATATTTAAAAACAAACAATTTTATACAGAAAACTCTTTTCTCAAAGTGTTAAGTTCTTTCCATCGATTCATGTTTTCTCGAATACACAAAAGAATGCAAGACGATTCCGGAAAAATATTCGCGAGTAACCTTAAAGAAAAGAAAAATGAAGGTAAGAAGCCGTTCATATCGCACGAACAACAACAAAAAAATTCAAACTTTGGTTCCCTGACCCCTTTTTTTTACAGTGTATTTAAAGAGACTCTTTCCCATAAACTTTATGTGCTCTTTTAATTTACCCAAATTAATTATAGTCACAGTAAAAATTAAAATCTTAAAATCAAATTAATTAGTTTTTGGGTATTCTTTTTCACCTATTAATTCTAAATATAAAGATAGACATCTAATTGCAGTAATAATCGACAGGGCCGACCACACCGGGGTGTGTCACCCACTTTTTCTCTAAAGGACTTTTTTTAAAAAAAAAGAAAATTCTAAATATAGAGGAGTTTCTTTAGAAATTGACGATTGTGCCCCTCCACTTTGAAATCCGTGTCGTCGGTAATGATCGAGTTAATATTAATTTAAGTAAATTAACACAAAATACAACTATTTAAAACTAAATTGACGTTTAACTTTTTACCACCCCTATTAGCGCCACATGGCTTTTTTGTATACCTCCTAAATTATACGGACTCTTTTAATCAAATTTCAAACTCAAGAACTTGAGTTTAAAGTTTAGTTTTTTTTGTTTGATCATAAAAATTACAACAACTTACTCGTAAATAGGTAAAGCAATTTTATTTAGGAAACCATATTGTAAATCTGGAACACTAGCTTTATCGCGGTCCATCATCTCTATAGGATTGTAACCTAAAGATTTTTCCTAATAACACGAATGAGTTATCAGTAATAAAAATACTTTTGTAACAATGGTTTCTTAAAACGTTTTTTCAAATAAAGTTATTTTTACCTGGTCTCCTTGTGCAAAAAACTCAGCATATAGAAGATCAGATACACCAAATGTACTTTCCCAAGGTTTTGTTTGATCTGATAGATCAGCAGTGGTCATACACAAAGACAATATCATTTCACAATGTTTTTTATCTGCTTTATCAATACCACCTGAGTAAAAAAATATTTCTGTTTTGTTAAATTTTTACTTAAGTTTTATTTTAATAAAATCTAATTTAATTACAGCATAACTTATTTAAAAAAATCTTACTGACATCAAAGCAAGCTTAGATAATGCGAGTTACAAAATCTCAATAAAGTATTTTTATTTTTAAACATTTTTGTTATTGTTTTATAATACATTATTGTTGATTCATATTGCGAATCTATGTTTTTATTAATCTTAAAGAAGTATGAAAGTGATAAAAAAATTTTTTTTTAAGAAAATAAGTGGGCATGGCCCCCCAGCCTCTGGTCATCTGCCCTGGAAACAATTTTAACACATGTTCATTTGGACTACACAAATGCTGATAGTTTCAGAGCTCCAGTTGGTCTGAAAGGTAGTGAAAAATCTATTGCATGATTCCGCTACAAAAAAGTGTGGCACATGCCCAGGCCCCTTAGGCCTTGGATACAATTTTAATATGCACGTATATCGATATGCCAAAATCTCAAATGTTTCAGAGCTCCAGCTAGTCTGGAAGGTAGTGAAGAATCAATTGCAATATTCCGCTAAAAAAAGTGGGGACCACGCCCTGTTATCCATATATGGAAATCCATATGTTTGCAGATCAAAATCTTTATATTTTCTTAAGAATCAATAAATATAGAATGTGTAATTTTTTTTGTTGATATCATTAAGGCCACATAGGTTTCTTGAGCATTAAAAACAGGTATATAAAAAATTGCCTAAATTTATTTAATTTGATAATAACAGGTACTTAATAATAATTATTTACATTTCTGATTATTTTATTGGATTTGTCACCCCTGAAAATAACCAGATACAAATTTTCAAGTAAAAAGATCAAATAATTTTAAAATTATGTGATTTGAAATCTCTAAATAAATGTTGTAATTCTTAGGGGACAAGAGGGGCAACATCTGCTAAATATAGTAAATAAAATAAAGTAAAATAGTCATATTTTAAGATCTTCTTGGAGCTAGAGTTTGAAATTTTCAAGGATTTTCAAGGAATTCTTATTTTACTACGTATTCTCAACTGTATAAATATCTACAAAATCTAACATATATGATGACATTTTTTAAAGTATGCAACTATGTCTTGTTAGCCTGGACTAAAATGTGTAACTATGCTTTTGTTAATCATAAAAAATATTTTTATTTCTCTTTAAGAAAAATAAAAATACTTTTTATATTTATTTTTATTTATCTATAGGAAAATTCACAAGTAATAACATTAACTTGAAAAAATTAAAAAAATAAAACTCACATTTGACAAGTTTATTAATCTGAGAAGATATTTTAAAATGATTTGCTATATCAGTTGCAATTATCATCACTTTCATTAAATCCAATGCTCTTTTGTAACCCTTTGTAAAATATATTTATAAAAAAACTATTAAAAAAAAAAATCTTTTTAATATATAAAACTATAATCAAAATTATAACAAAAAGAGCACATAAGTAACATGTAAATTTACATTGATTGCACAAAGTATATGTTCGCATGGTGTGTGACATTTAAGGTTAACTACTGTAGTATACTATGTTGTAACTATGCAGAAGATTAGTGGAACTTTCAGCTTATAACCAATAGATTCGAGGTTCAAATTCAGCCTATGTCTCTGAAAGTACCACGTTCAACCTATTTCTTTGAGCAGCAGCCATGTTTAAAAAGGTTTTCGTTTTAGTGTTTATGATTGAAAATTAAAGGAGAAAAAATTGAAAAAAAAAAACGAACATCCTCAACTGCCATCCTGAATCAGGAGTCTTGAGGAGACAAGACTTTTTGGGGCATGAGGCTATTAAAAAGGGGAGGCCCTTTTCCATGTCATTAGTCAAAGATTTTTCTTTTCAGATTTTCTTTTAAAATTTTTTTTTATTTTTAATCAGGGCACTCAAAAATGTGAGGCACGGGGCTATAACTCTCCCTAGACCCTCCCTTAATCCAGCACTGTTTATGCCTTAATCCAGCACTGTTTATTTCATTTAAATTTCAACAAAAACTTTCTGGCTTTTTGTTGATAATAGGTATCCACATCCACATAACTTTTTTTTTAAATCCATGTTGAAGTTTATCAATTTTTAACATGATAATTACTGTATTAAAGCTTAGCTTAGTCCAATGAACTTTTTTAGCTCAGAAAACAACATTCATTTTAAACTTACTTCTTCAGAAAATGTTTCAAAGATATTTGTAGAGTCTGTTTGAATAATACACATTGCTTGTGCAAAATGATGTCTCTAGTAAAAAGAAGCGAAAAGTTTAATATAGATTTTTAAACACCCATAATAAAGAAAATAAACTTTTTTACCTCTAAAATTGATCCTGCTGAGCTATATAATGAAGCTAGTACAGAGTGCTGAAACAAAATTACATAAAAAATTGAGAAAAATTGAGGTAGCACTGAAACGAAAAAGTCTAAAAAAGATGAAAAAGAAACAAATATTAAAATGAAAAATGATATACTTGCAATTAACCTTTACTTTTTAAATAGTACACTTTGCACATACTTACTGAGGAGACTTGGAATGAGCTGCTAGTACCTCTATGATCAATATCATGACATAAGCAAGATATTAACAGAACAAATGATTCCAAATCACTAAAATATTTTTTTTAATTTGCAATTAGAAATCTTGTGACATAAACATGATTTTAATAATACAAATGACTCCAAATCATTAAAATACTTTTTAAACGTCATTTAAATTTCATTTACAATTAAATGTCTCTTTAAAAGATTTTTTCAAGGAAAAAATTAAATACTAGGAAAGTATGGGAGAAAAAGTTTGTTATTTAACCAAAGTGGAAAGTCATTTATATGTTGGTATTTTAATTATATTTTATATAGAATTTTTATAAAAAAAGAGTTCTTTAAAAATAACTGTCCCCAACCCAATCATCAAACAAAATATCATAAAACACCAATGAAAATTTGTTCAAAAAAAAAAAAAGACTTTTAAAATGGATTAAATATCACACTGTTTTCTTGGTATTAAAAGACATAATAGAAGAGAAAACAAAGTAGGTGCAATCAGTACCATATCATTAGAGTAAGGTAGCACATATAGAAAGATTATTTTGCATCTAGTATGCAAGTTTGTGATTGTTAAAATTAAGTTATGTATATGAAACTTAAAGAGAAGCGGTGACAGCATACCATCTTGACATTTTAAATTCTAAAACAGAATACCATCTTGCCATTTTTAATTCCAAAACTATTTGATTACCTTTCTTGCCACCTAACAGACATTTAATGATTACTATACCAAAATGCGAGCAAACAAAAATTATTTTTTTAGATAATTGCAAAATAATACCCAGTAACAGTCACATGCTTTATTGAAATCTAGGAAACACATGAATTCCTCTAGATATATATTTATAGTCAGTATAGTTATGAATCAAAAATTTTGAGCATGATATTTAAGTTTGAGTTTTTAGGTTTGAACACTAATTGGTAATTGTCATCTTTGTTATTACTATGCATATTGATTTTTTAGCAGCATTCAAATGTCGCCCAAACACTCAACACTGTTGAAAAGGGTCTAGAATAGCCTCTAACCATATTTGATTTCACTAATGGAATAATTGCTAATTGCACTAATGAAATAATTGTGGTTTCACAAAACTTAAAACATATATCCATATAGTTATGGTGGCAATACTCATCATTAAAATTTGTAGGCATGTATATATTTATCAGTAAAATGAGCCCAAAATTGACAGAAATTTGTAAAAAAGTGATTCTTGATTCTAACATTTTAACAGCAATATTATTGACAAAAATTTTTTGATAAAGAATAGCAGTACCACTGTATGGTCTATCAATCAAAATATCAGATAATATTTACTGCTGATAAACAAGTGCCATAAAGTTAGGATGAACTTCATAGCTTAAGCTCATTGGGTAATAACCAATGTTTTGTAACAGAACAAAAACATAAATATCACACATCTTTTATTGCATAAACACTGTTTTTAAAAGAACAGAAATTGAATGAATAGAAACATAAACCTTTGTTATTGGCCAATTTTGGTTTTAAAACATCTTTGATTAAGTAGACCCATAAGCCAAACTGTGACTCATAAACTTCAAATCATACCAAAAATTAACTTACAGTAAGTTATAAATGTGTAAACTACTATAACTTAGATAAACTTGCAAATATTTTTCTTGGATTAGGCTCAGCTGTGTTAAACCTTTAAGAATAATTTTGGAAACCAAGCAATGTCTGGGAAATTAAAGATAATTGGGATAATTCAATCTAAAGCCATTATTAAAATGCTCATAGTGCTTATTTAAAGAAATAAGCACTATGAGCATTTGCTTAATTCTGACGAAACAAAAATTGTTGATATTTTGCAAACCATGAAATTGCACTAAAAAATGTTTTTTTTTTTTTTTTACTAAAGAAAGTCTTTCAACATTTTTTGAGCTCCTTTAATTTTAAGATCATTTAAGACATCAACAAAACAAAGAATTTTTTTTATATTTTACATGTAAATTTATTACCTGAAGTATTCTTTAGCATGTGCTGTCTTTAAAAGGAGATATGCAAAATGAGCAACTGTCCATGCATGAGTCCAATTATGATAAGGTACATCTCTATATGCACGCCGCACAGTTAAGATGAATCTAAAAATTATTAAATTTTGTTTTGAAATCTCAGAATATAGAAAAAAACAACTTAAAACTAAATAAAAATAAACAAGGAAAAACTTTTCATAATAAATATCTACCGAACAAGTGTTGACAAATGAATCTTAAGTTTTTGAATTAAATCCAAATCTACAAACATTGCAACAACAACCTAAAAACATAGCAACAACATCTATATACATAGAAAAAAAAGATAATATATGCTAAACAAAAATGATATCTGAATACCAACAAAAAAATGTCTGAATTAAACCTCATTAAAATTACATGACAATTAAATTTCTAATTAAAATTTTTTTATCAACAGAAATGAATACTTGAACAGAGTCATGTTGAGCCAGTTCGATTCTTGGCATGAATGAAAAGTTATCCAACTGTGGATGAACACTATTTTTTGTAGGGAGCGGACCATTCAAATACTTATCTACTTCTATTGCAGGTGCCTTAAATATAAAATTATTAATATAATCATTTATTCATTTTATTCATACTTAAAAAACAATAACTATCAAACCACTGGTCATAATGATATAAATAATAATATAGTAAGTTTGAAATGCAAAAGTAGCACTTATAACTTAGTTGGTATTTAAAAACTCATTTTATTTAATCCTTCATGTAGTAAATAAGTTGTGCCCTATCAAGTCATAGAAACCCATTAAATCTTAGACAAACTTCTTCAAACTCAGGATAATTTTAACTAATATTTATAAAATTCTCCTTTATTATACTATAAGCTGCAAAACTTAATTTATTAATTCAAATATTTCCAAAAATCTTTTTGCCTAAAAAATATAGTTAACATTTTAAAATATCAACATAAATTTGTGTTAAATTGATTTCTAATTATAAACATTTTTGCAAATCAGAAAAATACAAAAAAAAAAAATACAACAAAAAGTTAAAAGTTTTTCCCCAAAAGAAAATATTCAACTGCATTTTATATCTTACTTGTTATTAAAAAGCATTTAGTAAATTTAACTTTTGTGTCATTTATTTTCTTTTATAAAAAACTACCAATTGGTGTAATATACAAAAACTTACTCTCATATGATGCAACATTAGTTCATTCGCTAATTTGCTTCTTTGTTGTGCATCTGTTGCTTTTTTATAAAGTAAACTCTAATGAAAAATTACCACAAATATAAAAAAAAAATAGTTAAAAAAACCAATTTAATACCTTAACAAAACTAAAAACTATGCAATACCTGAACTAGGCTAAGACCAACAAAAATTGCAAAAGCATTTGTTCTCTCTTCATCAAACTTTGTAAAAGAATTTCCATTGATTTTATTGCAAAGCTCAGCCACACCAATTATTTTATCTGAAAAAAAGTGCAACAGAATTTACAAAATTGAAACAGAGTTTACAAGCATTTCGGAAAATCTCAAACACATCATTTAGAGTCCAGAAGCCTTAAAAATATAAGAATAAGCATATTTAAAGTCACAACCAGGGTTGCCAGGTTTTTTTTCGGGCATAAGCCAAAAACGAAACCAGACAAAAAATAAACCAGAAATAAACCAGACCGAAAAAAAAATCATAATTTTTTGTTTCAAAGCCTTGTTTATAATTTATATTAAAAAAAAAAATGCTTTTTTATCCAAAAATTCATCCTTGAATATTAAAATTTAATTTGTGTGAGAGAGAGAGAGAGAGAGAGGGATAAGAAGAAGAACGAGTTAGTGAATGTTTAATGGGGTGCCAGTCCAGCCTTCAAAGCAGCATGGGGAAAGTAGTTCACTCCCAAACACCTATACTAAATCTGACACTATCAACTTCTAAAATATATATATATATATTTTTGCTTGCATATGGATATAGATTTTTTTTTCCAACCTTTGCGATAATTGACTCAATTATTTCAAAGTCCTGGTAAAAAATCTTTTGCCTTATTAAATATGATTTGATCCAAATAATTGCATGCAAGACTTGGTTTGATATTTTTTTAGTCTTATTTTTATGCAGATGACCTTTGAGAAGACTCAACAAAATAGTTAGAAACGGAACACATAGACAGCCAAGGCAGTAGGCATCTATGATGCAGAGGTCTAGGTCTCCGGAAACTTCTAAACGGTTTCACAAAGCAGTTTAGAATTCAGCAGTGTTTTTAAAAACTTATTTTTCTTAAAAATATTTAGACTCGCTCTAATGATGCAAAGTCAATTAATTAATGATTAATGACGATTTCTGTTATGATTTTCAATTTCTTCACTTTTTGCATCTGTAAGATTTAACAGTAGATTTGAAATGGCCTTTTTAACTTGGGAAACAACATTCTTTACAGGCAGATTTTTCTCAAAAAACGTCATTTTGAATGTAAGAATTTTCTATTATTTTGGCAATTAAGGGAAAAAAACAACATTTTAATGACATTACAACTAAAAGTTTTTAACATTTTTAAATTTTAATGTAAGCATTTCTTTCATTTCTTTTAAACTTGATTGTTCTTCTATAAAATGAAAAAATGAAAATCTTTTTTTCCCTCCAATTAACTTTTTTCATGAAACAAAAACTTGATTAAATTGATTTATTATTAAATAAACCAGAATTTAACGAGATTTTAAAAAACACACCAGAAAAAACAAAAAAAGACCAAAGACTTTAAAATAAAAGATTTAAGCCAGATTTTTTAAAATAAACCAAAACAAAAGTTCCAAGCCAAACGATAAAAAAACAAACCAGATTTGAGAAATCTGGCTTTAAAAAACACCAGATGGCAACCCTGGTCACAACATGTTTTTGTTTATTTATTATTATTTTTATTACCTTATTTCATAGTGTCAAAAAATTTAACATAACAAACCTTTCACAGAACGTATAGGGAAACAAAGTATATGTCTAAAAAAAATTAAATTTATATTATATATGTATGTGTGTATGCTTGGTCATTTTTGAATATATATATATATATATATTATATATATATATATATATATATATATATATATATATATATATATATATATATATATATATATATATATATATATATACTTTTTATGTTTATCCTAAGCATTTTTGCTTTTATTCTATCTTACCAACACTAAAATCTTAAAAAGTAATAACTCTTCTTCTGTCTCTGCAATCAAGCATAAATCATCTGCATAGAATAGCTCCCATGGTAAATCAATACTGAACTCTTTAGAGACTGCCTCCACAAAAAAACAAAAAAACAAAGGACTACAAATATCAGGAAATTTGGAGAATTGCAGATTATAATGCTTTGCCATATTTTTGTATGCTAAACCGAATATCAACCTTAATTAAGTTTTGTCGCTTGTTTTTTACATAATTAAAAAGTTTTTATTTTGTTAAAACATCAAAATGTAACTTTATTTAAAGCAAAAAAAAAAAATTATAAAAAACGATAAAAATTGAAAAATTAATATTAAAAATTATGAACGTTTTTTTTAATTTCAAGATTAAAAAAATTATTTTTAAGAATAATTAAGTAATAAACAGTTATAACTATTTGTTTAATGAAATTATTATGAACTTAAAAATAAGTGTTAAAAATGTAATATTGAATATAAATAAAAAATTTGGCATTATGTAATCCAAATCACACAAGTGTGAAACGGAGAATATCAAATTTAAAAATCAATATTAGGCAAAAGTAAAACATTAAACTGACTTGATGTTTTTGCAAAGATATCAGTTTCGATCTTCATCACATTTAATAAATAAAATTAACATGTAAAATGATTTTTGCAGCATTATAACTTGTGCAAGAAATAGATAAACTAATATATTTATTATCAACATTATTACTTACAATAAATGTTTTCTAAACTTACTTTGTTTTGAATCCTGTCATAGCATCAACATCAGGATAAAATAACGGATGGGAGTAGGCATCTTTAATATTGAGCATTTCTCCTAAAATCCATTAAAATGAGTTTACACATTTATAGACATGAACAAACAAGCATTTAAACAAAAATTATATATATATAAAACATCTACTTCTGCAAATTTAAGTTGGCACTGTCCTAATATATTTTCCAAACAATATGTTTTAAAATATTGTTATTTAAAATGTAAAACTTTCAAACAGTTTTTCCAAAAAATAAAAAAATAAAAAAAATGAAATATTTTTTTTTACTGCTTTAAGTTTAAATGTTTTCAAACATTTAAACTTTAAACATTGGCTTTTTGTTGTTGGCAATGTTGTATTTGTAATCAAAATGATATACAAACAATGTTGGCAACCAATGTTGTGCCAATGCAACTTGCAACATTGATCAAATGTTTTACCAATTTATGTGTGCTGTGTAAAGTTCTTTAGGTCTAGGTAATGTCTGCCCAAACTAAAACCTCAGTCATTATATGTGATCAGAACCTGCAGATGGCTATTTTAATGTACATACATATATCTCACCACAACAGTAATTATGTTTTAAAAAGCTGCACATGCCCATATTAAGTTTCCCTAGCAAGACATGTTTATTTTGTCGACAGAAAAGTGTTTCATAAATTTCAAAAAGCATATCCTAAATAAAAATGGTTGTTATTGTAAAAAAATTTTTTGTGTTTTTCTCTCATTGAAATATATACAGAAAAACTTTTTAGAATAAACTTCTAGGTAGAACTTATTTAAAGCATAAACCAGCAGCTAATATAATAACTTTTTAATAAATATCATTATTTAAAATAACAACAACATTTTCTATTTGTAAATCAAAGAATTCTATCAAAATCATAAAAAAAAAGTTTTTTTTAACATTTTTTTTTGTTTTTGTTAAAAATCTTAACTTTCAACAAGGCTGCAAGCAACTACTGTTAGAGTTGGAAGTTACTAGAAGAGAAAAGATGACATTTATAAAGCAAGATAACAATTAACAGACAGCAAATTTAGTAGATGGCGCAAGAGACACTAGCTCTTTAGAGCAGTGCCCATTATAGTATTTATAGAAAAGAGAAAAAGAAGCAACATTACAATGATGTGACAGTGGTTAAAGGTCAGTTGCAAGTGCAAGTCCAACTATGTTTACAATGAATTTTTGCACCTTGTCTAAAAGAGAAAAGGCATTGTCAAAGTTCCGCTCAAGATATGGCAACAATATTGCATACAAGAATCGATTTGAGAATTATAGAGATAAAGAATAGAATCTGGAGTAAGAAAGTTGAAAGCATGATAAAGAGATGCAACCTTAACAGATGCTAATTTTGCAATAGATTTTTTTTTAATTTATTTTATTTTATTTAGGTGCTCCAAGAAGTCCTTATGGTCTTTTCATGAGTACCGCGAATGCACCGCAGAGTGTATTGAGGACAACTTTTATACTACAATTGGTAAGGAAGGATTCAATAATCTTAAAGATGTTACCTGATACACTGTAAGAAGAGAGCTTATGAAGAAAACCAGCATGCCAAACCTTTATCAAAGGCTTTAGAAATGTCGAGAGCAATAGCCCTAACTTTTAAACATCTATCTAATGCGCAATAAAACCTAAAGGTTATTACTGTTAACAAATTAGCAGTAGAACAAGAAAATCGAAATCCATATTGATGATCAGAAAGCAAGTTTATTAGATTTTTCTGCAGAGTCAGATCACTCTCAAGAATTTTTTGAAATAGTAAAAACAGATGTCGCTTTCCAGCAGGCTGGAAAACAAGACTCTGATAAGCACTTGTTAACTAGTTTTGAAAGTATAGACGACAGCTCCAGATAACACTTCTGCAAGACTATAACGGGTATGTTGTCCGGACCACAAGCTGTTGAAGAGTCTAAGCAGGAAATCACTTTAAATATAGAAGCTGGAGAGATACCATTGTCAAGCAAAGGATCAAGCTGTTTGTCAACCAATTTGTAAGCAATGTACGCTGAGTGTAATTAAGCCTCAAATTCTCTCTGTATTGTATGAAAGAACAACATGCAATAGATCCTTTTTGTATGTTTCTTGTGAAAATCACTCCTCAGTTTATATCAGAAAAACTTGCTGAACCTTGAGTGAAGAGTTTCTTCTGCCATAGCCATTCTTTCTATAAAACTCATTTACATGGCAAAATAATATATGTGGCTTAGTACTCATTGTTTTGATATCTAAAGTGATAAAGTAATCAAAAAAATCATCACTTTTTTCAAAATCCATACTGAGTATCTTGTTAAAGCATAAGTAACCCAGACTTTCAAATGGATCTAAGGCATCAAAAAATCCCCTTAGATCTCCTGAAAGAGAATTTCTAAGCCCTGTGTAATTTATTTGTTAGTAAATTATCTATCAATTTCATCAATTTCCATTAAACTTTCTATCATAAAATTTTTGTCTGACAAGGGAACCAAGGTTTTGCTGTCTAATGGATCTAAAGGGTTTATTTATCTCCTGTAGAGAAATACGGATCTACACAACCTTTATTCTTTTTACAGAAGCAACAAGAAAACTTTGAAGTATGGCTTTGAAGTTCTAAACCAAGTTAAGTAGTTTCAAATCTGCACAAAGTGTAAACTGAATATTTCTGAGAAGTTCAACATTATTGTAAAAGATTTTTGAAAAAGCACACTTGTCATAAATCTTCTAAATATTTGGGATTATTAATAAAGTAATTTTTGATCAACAGATTTCATTTTTAAGCTAGGCGAAAAAAAAACTCTTGGCATAGTTTAATCTCTTGGTGATATCACCACTAAAGTTACTTTAGTGGCCATATCAAAATTACGTGTGTATGTATGTATGTATATATATATATATATATATATATATATATATATATATATACATATATATATATATATATATATCCACATAAACAAATAATTTTAAATGTATTCTACAAAAACTAGAGAGCTCAATAATAAATTAGTAGAAAATCACTTGTCAAACTTTTTTCATTTAACACAGTGTTTCATCAATACTCATCAGAAATTTTCTAAAGAGTCTTTATAGACACAATGTAAAATAAAAAAATTTTGATAAGTAATTTTCTACTAACTTATTTATTTATTCATATATATATATATATATATATATATATATATATATATATATATATATATATATATATATATATATATATATATATATATATATATATATATATATATATATATATATATATATATATATATATATATATATATATATGTGTATATATATAGTATTTTAATATATATATATATATGTATATATATATATAGAATTTTAATTGAGAATGAATATAAATGTTTCAAACGTGTAAATATAAAAATGATTTTAAATACAATTAAAAAAATTGTCTTAATTTTAAAAGTATTTACACATTTTGTTTTACAAAGAATTTTTGGATATATATATACTTATAGTGTAGTCGAAAGAGTCTTTTAATGTAAAAAAAGTCTCTTTCGACTACAATTTTAATTACCTCGTCTCTTAAGCTGTTTTTGATTGTCGTCAAAATGTCAAAGCAATTAAACTAATGCGGAAGTACATTAAATTTTATTGTTTTTTAAAAAATTTTAAAAAAACCGCAATAATAATGACTAGAAAGTTTTTTTTAATTAGTGGTGTTTTTGTTTTTGGTTTTATTAAAAAACATTTTTAAAACATGCGTAAATGTTGCTACATCGACTATCTTATAGCCTGCTGCTATAAGGGAGTGTTTCTACATTGACTATCTTACAGCCTGACTCGCAACGGAGTGATGCTACATCGACTGAAAAAAAGCCTGACTTGCAAGGGAGTGCTGCTACAACGACTGACAAATAGCCTGACTCGCAAGGGAGTGCTGCTACATCGACTGAGGGTTTGGTTTGGGCAGGCAGTCTATCATTTAAAAAAAAAAAATTTAAGTTTTTAAACTTTTTCTGGTCTGGTTTATTAACGCGCTCTTTAAAACTACAGTTTATGGGAAACTCTTTCTGACTACCATGCAAGAGTATATATATATATATATATATATATATATATATATATATATATATATATATATATATATATATATATATATATATATATAGCATATACTTCTTTTCCTAAAGGTCATTTTTATTCCTTAATAATAAATACTATTTAGAGCTTTTACACTAAATGAACAAATTTGTTTTTTTGCTTTTGTTTTTTTCCTTGATTACATATATTATATAACAAGTATATTTACAAACTTCCTAAATATACATAGAGATTAGTTAAAAATTCTTTAACAAATGTCCAACAATGAATCTGTAAAATTTTATTGAACTCAATAATAAGTGTCATTTTAAGATGGTTTCTTTTTTAAATCTTTTATTGAAATAAATTTTGATTTGAGTTTACAAAAACTAATAGTACAAAATATTTTGATAGAATGTATTGAGAATGTACTGCATGTTTTCAGGTAACGTATAGAGTAGAATTAGCACCAGATTTATTAGCATCATCAAGTCGGTAGCGGATAAATTTTTGTAGGTTTGAATAAATTGTCAATTTTGCTAGTGTGATAGGATGGTTTGGAGTGCTCAATACTTGTTTAAGTGTACTGATGCATACAGCATCAAAATGTTCCTAAATTGAAAAGATACCATCTTTGGTTGCATCATGAAGATCAATACCAGCTGCTTTTAGTAGACAGTTTAAAAACTTTGCACCTTGGATTTAGTTTTATTGATTGTGGAGGTGAAGACAACTGCATTGTAGGTAATATGCAATAGGCAGGGTAAGCAGATATTACCATATATTTAGACCATCCTCCAAATGTTCTGAGTTGCTTAAAAAGATGTTCATAAGGGGCAATTTTATTATACAGACTTGACCATTGTTTTTTAAAGTTTAGACTTAAGTTGAGGTTGATGCTGAGGTATTTGTATGAGTTTACAAGTTCGAGAATTTTGTTTTTCAATTTTATGACAGGCTTTGCGCTTCGGCCAATATAAATAACTTTGCATTTGGCTATGTTAAGAAACATTCTATTATCATTCTACCATT